GATTCATCGCTGGAACTGTCACTGTCGGATTGCCCTTCGTTATCTGCTTCACCGCTTAATGGTGTAAAAACAGGCGTATCGTCATCATTTCTCACGATTCCTTTGATACTGTCCCTCCACTCCGTTGTCGTATCAACCCTTTCGCCGTTCTTGGCCCAACGTAATCTTCCATCTCCGTCAATTTTGACCAAGTAATCCAATCTCTCCTCCTTACTCAAATATCTCACTTGTTCTCTATCCAGCCTTTCCCTCGGACAACCTTGACAATCAATAAATCTTCCCTCTCCATAATCCAACCAATAAAAGAAATTCTCATTCGTATTTGCCTTCTTCCATTCCCCGTGGTACGTACGAAGGTTCGAGCCATACCTATGTTTAAGATCGACCATCTCAAGAAAATATTGTAAGTCCATTATTTTCGCTGCTTTCTGTCTTGCTGCCTTTTCTTCCATTCGACGTTTTCGTTTTGCGGCACGTTCTTCTTCATTCAGATCTCCAGAATCTTCATCGCTTTCTTCATCTGATTCCTCGTCTCCACCTGCTCTTCGAGCTATCATGCCAATTTTCTTCCAATTTTCTCGGGCGTGAGAGGTTCTATTCTGTGTTGTTGCCATTGGACTTCCCGTTCCTTCTGTATGTATCGACGGTTCTCCCTCAACATCAAAACTCCTACTACCTCTTTCTCTCTCTCCACTATCTCTTGCTCTCGGCGTCGTCAAATTTCTATACCTAGCCTCCTTAACAGCTTCCACCCATCGAGTCCCAACATCCAATCTTTTTCCTTCCAGAATCCTCCGTTCCCTATGTCCTCTATAATTTCTTTGTATAAGTTCTGCGGCTTTCCTCCTTTCATTTTCACTCAGATTTGGATTTTCACTCAACCGTCTCGCGATACCTTCGACCTCTTTTTCTTCTTGGACATGATTGATTTCTTGAATGACTTCGGGCGGTGGCATGGCGAGAGAATTAATATATTCTTGATGGGATTTCGAAGATGCTTTGCTAGAAATGCTAAGACGGGATGGATGACGTGAATGTTGGGAATTGGATCGATCGTGAGATAGTTGAGGATTTGATCGATTGTGATTCGTATTTATAGTCGTTGGATTTGTATTCGCCGATACCGTTGTTGTCGTCGCAGATCTTGAAGGGAAAGTAAATTCGCTATCTGGTGTATCCTCAAATTTTATTTTCGAATCGCATTTCTCTTGACTTGTATGTCCATTTATTCCATTGATCCCATTGATCTCATTCACTTCTTCGTACGGCTTATAATTCCCACCATGCGCATTCACGTTCACATTCGCAGTCGGTATATCTTCTCGCACGGAACCCAGACTCCGCCTCGATGTATTTTTATTTAAAGATACATCATAATCAGGGTATGAAGCCGCAACCAATGGAGGGGTCATTTTCATGACGGGAAATCTTGGCGAACCGGGATTGAACCAGAGAGATCTGGTGGATTAAGGATAAAGGGATCACCAGATGATTGTCTTCATCAATTCGAGAAATCTGAAGGCTGGCTTTTGTTAATAATTGAGGATATAATATTGTTCAATAGTAAAAAGTATCAATGAATGAATGAGAATGAGTCAAAATGAAGTCAAGGATAAGAATATACAAGACAATGGAAATTCTGGAATGTCTCAAATAACATTCCATTTGCAGAACCTCGGGAGTTGTTTTCCCTCCGTACCTTGATTTAATGGCAGATCCAACATTGTATTACTTTCTGCGACTATTCCAAGTCTTTTCATATCTGCATCCGGAATCTCAGACCAGACGCAAGTCTTCATACCAACATTTCAACCAATACCAATACCAACATCAAATGTTTCTCGTTTACTTCGTGTGTACATACCTCTTGGGCGTCTTGTTGGCGTAACAAGGTTTCTTCACATTTCTTCACAATGACGTTGGAAAGTTCATTCGTTGCGTAACTTCTTGCTCAGCCTTACAAGTATCCCCGCTGCCCCGGTTAGAGTTGTGGCTCTCGAGTGGCTGTATCGTAAAGGTTGGTAGCGTAATCTACACAACCACGTGATGAATTTCCGTTTCTATTGATAGGTAGCCCTCAGTCTATGTGGCGCACACGGTTAACGGCATCTCTTTGCATGGCATGTAAAAGCGAAACTGCACCACCGTCTTACCACTATTTCACTCGACTTGTCAAATGTCTTGCCACGTATATCTGTTCTAGAGCATGTGAGAAGTCGACATACCAGTTCGAATTGGGTCATCATTGCAGTTGGGTTAGCTCGATGGCCCAGAAGCCGAGAATTATCAGCCCTTTGCCAATATCATCGGATTCGCTCGTTAGACACAGTCCACGGGTGCTGTCAATATGATTCAATCTACCAAACCACAAGACAGTATACCTTTGCACTAACCGAACCCCGAAGTGCCATTTCCAATATTTAACTGGGGCTTCAAGAACTTGGCCGTATGGAGTGAGGCCTGGAAGCCAAGTGATTCCGACGAGGTTTCATTCTCTAGAAGGATCGAAAATGCCCATGTTATCTCGAATGTAGTGGTGGGAAATAGAGTGGGGTCTCACTCTTCTGCTCAGAACCTTTGAAGATACAATTTCCGTATCTAGACCTCTGCTACATGATACCATGGAAAGATTCACATAGGATGAGGCAAACGGCGGTAGACGCTGGAGAGACCGTTATCGAGTCCCCTACAACGTGATGCCTGACACAACTAAGTGTATCTTTCCTATAAACGTTTCAGTGGTATGCAAGGAACCATGCTGAATGACTACATGTGGGAGAGCGGCCTTTTAAGATCACGGATGATGTGTGTATGTGTGTGAGGACGTTGAAATGTGGGTACATGCAGTTGGGATTCGAAAATGAAAGAAATCTATTACGAGGAGATTCTAGTTTTCTGTTCTGAGAAACTATGGTAATTCAATTTGACAGGAGGTTAGTGAACACGGGATATGTTTGTCCGCTGTTGGTAGAAGACTATCGACCCGTACCCACACACGCATCTCCCATCAACTATGATTCTCCTAGCCCAACCCAACTCAGAACCCTTTTAATTTGGTCAATCACGAAGAAAAATATTATATATGATCTGGTGTAGAGTCATTGTATATCTCATTCTATAAACGTCCCATATCATTCCTTCACAACTACACAATTTTGCGAGAGAACACGCCTTTTTCGTCGTAGTCTAAGTAACTATTTAACCAGTATCTTGGTTCAAGTCAGTATGAGAAATAGTCTTAGCAATGCCCAAAAGAACTAAGACTCGACACTGTGATGAGCGCTGACCTTGAGCATGGAATTTTCGAAGGTCTCTTTATGTCATTAATGTAACTACACACACCTATTTGAAAGGACGAACAAATCTCACTGCTGCCACTTTCGCACTAATGTTACCTAGAAACTCTAACTTCATTGTCATCAGTCATCATTGTTAATATTCTCACCGTCATTGCCATGATAAAAGTCTCCTTAGTTCTCCTCTCAAATATCGCTCTACCGACAAACCTAAGCCCTGTCATCTTCTATATATCGATAGACGTTGCTCTGGCTTGGACATTACCGTTGCCATTTTCCAGTCTTCTTAGTGGCTCTTCACTTTGCATACCCATTTTCTTGCTATGATCGTTTTATAGAGCCAAACGAGACGATCCTTGCTGAAGCCTACGAAAGTGTCTATAAAGCGCTGTTACATACAGTCACGCTTTTACACTCTGTCTTGTGTTCATCCTTTGTATGAATCAGGGCGCGGGTCTCTTTTGTACCCTTACTTAGATAAAACCTTCGAGCCATAGTGAGAATTATTCAAGCTGATGTAGTCATTCATGTCACAGCCGATGCCGTGTTTTGAACTCTGGGGTTGCTATACCTTAACTTCATCACAAGAGTTTGTCTCGTCTTCACCAGCCGAACTATACATATTAATTTCGCATCCGGTTTCGTATCTCTGATATATCATATCAATAAGCAAAACACAATCCCAGTATTCAGGAACTGAAAAGCAATATTGTAATTTCACAGTTTGAGAACGAGTAGACTTGAGAGTTTACATGCTATTTTCGTAGATGATGTTTCGTGAAATACTCCGGAAGACATGTTATGGGAATAAGAGCTTTTAGTTGGAACTTTAATAGTAGTGTCTTCAATATTAAGTAGCGAGATCAATCATAATATATTATTGAAATGCAAATCATATTAAAGGCACTTGAAACTCAACGCCTGATACTCTAGATGTTACCTTTCCAAACTCTATTCCTCTAATTTTCTACCTAACTACCTAGGTAGATAACATATCAAACTATCCTCTCCAGCCAGCAAATCTCCTCTTGACAACTTAAAAGATATTAGACTTCGCATTTACCGAGATCATTGCGCGAGATAATGAAGCTATATCCTCCCAACTTCCCCTCTACAATTCCATCTTCCCAATCAACAATATAGCAGCACACTTACACTCGAGCTTTAGGGACTAGCGACTTCGCAATGTATATACGAGTATCCTTCCTTTTCTTACTCCAGGATGTCAGATTTGAATCAAACGAGTTGTATCGAGACGAGATGGGACAAAACAAAACAAAAGTAGGAGATGTGTTAATGTTACAGTAGAGAATAAGTAACAACAACGCCCCCAGATTGATGATGAGACCCCACGATCCTCCCCCCCAAAAAGAAGATTAGTAATAGCATAATATTCTATAAACCACATAGATATCAACACTCCTCTAAAAACTGCGAAAAATCTACTCCAGAGTTCAGCTCTGCCCTCGTGAGAAAGGAAACTATCCTTTGTTTCTACATTTTAGCGTGCATACATATCTAGACGAACTCTGATCCGCACCTTTTATTTCATTTGATGGTGTCTTACAAACGTACCATGCAGAGAAATTCGTACAAGATTCGATGTAGATTTATACTTCCCCCGCGTACCCCCAAAGATCTATACACCTAGACACTGCATTTTCCCCTCCTCCACACCCAAAAAATTCTCACCCACTAAATCAAACCGACAAACAAACCATCACTAACCCCAAAAAATTCTTCCTCAAAGTAACAATGTAATAATTAAATTCTTATTGATCAACCCATCCTCCCATGAATATAAACAAAGTTACAATAATAACCAATCATAACCCTTCTCTCTTTCCCATCATAAAAGCCGCTGCAAAAAAGGTATAGTACCGCTTAGCGCATCGTCTAAAATCGTAAAATAACAAGAAGCGCGCTAAAAATATGCACAAACACGCGAGGACGTCGGAATTCCGGATGTGGCAGGACTTGGTGCCTCTTTTTCTCGAGTGAACTTTCGTCACAGAGTACACGTGCCTTGTCGTATAATCACGACCTGTGAATTCGATTCGCTTCTTTTCCTCACAGCTCCCTCCGGGTTTCAATGTCGAATCAAATTGGTTGTCCTCGGAATATCCCCTGCACATGCCGCTCTGAATTAATCTCATCGCTCCAAAACCCAAAACCTTGACTTTATCTTTAAATCTTAATTTGACTCCGTCATATCATTACCTCCTCCCGAAATTTCCCCCATCCATCTCATGCACCGTTCTCGGCTGTTCCATCTCGCTCGGCTGCGGTGCATAGTACCCCTTCTTATCCGCCATCCCGATTCCACCCGCCTCTCCCAAATTTCCTCGTGGATATCCAGTTCCAATTTCACTTGGAGTATGTTCTCCACGCCCAGCCACTTCGTGTTGGTTTTGCACAAAAGATCCTCCTGCAGGCTGATATCCTTGTGAATTCTGATTTAGATTTTGATACTCTTGCCCGGGAAATCCTGCTTCATCCTCAGGAAGTTGATTAGCCTGTTGCTTTGAAGCGCGTCTTTTTCTCCATAAAAGCCACCCAAGACCCGCGAGAGCAAGTATACCACAGGGAATAGCGATGCCGGCACCGATGGCGACAGCGTGATTAGAAGAAGATGCGGTTGTGGTTGGTAGAGGGGCGGTGGATGTCTGGGAGACGGCTGACTCGGAGGTTGCTGCTGTGCTTGAACTGGATGTGGTGGTGGTTGATACCGATGAAGTAATTGCGGAAGATGTAACAGATGTAGAAGAAGCAGAAGTTGTGGATGATATGGACGATGTGGATGATGAAGATGATGAGGTGTAGTCGAGGGGAACTTGAGCGAGAAGTTTGGCTACGGGCGAGATGTTGAATATATCTGAGTCATCATCGCAACAAGCGAAACTCCCTACACCGTTGGCACCAGTATCACAACAACTGTCTTGGGTCAGTATCGAAAAATACGATTTTTTTTAGTTGGTAGAACATACTATTCTGTTGTTGATGTTATAGCTCCATTACAAAATCTTATGCCAGCAGTTGAACTTCTAGCATCTGAGAATTGGTTAGTATTCTCAGCCCACAAACATAATTTATATAACTTACAACTAGTACATTGATTTAAACAGGCTGGATCTTTCCATGTAGGATCTGTACATCCAACTCTTAAATAATCCTGAACATTTCCATTTGCTTGTTGACAAACACCATTTGAGAAACATATAGCACCAGCTGCACAACATGAACTATGACCTGTGGTTGAATTATCACATCTATATCCTGCATTGGCATTATGTTGTCCATTTATAACATAACATGTTGTTGGTGTATCCGTCGTGGCAGCTGATGCTAATAATGGTAAAGAAAATGAACAAAACAATAAAAATTGTTTTTTTATTGATATTCGTGAAGCCATTATCTCTGTAAAGAATGTAGCGATATGCCAATATAATTGGAGAGAAGAATTCAAAAAGTTAATGATGGGGAAGTAAGGATGATATGAGCGTGCGTGGCACAGATCGAAATTAATCAAGATGTGGATATCTAGAACGATACAACAAATGATTTGATCTGATAAATCATAAACCAGCTTCCGAATTAGCTACTCCAAGGAATGGTTTGAAAATCAAATAGTTCATAGACTACGAAAGAACGTAAAGGGATTGTAAAAACAAGAGAATGAATGAAGAGCACGAGAAAAAATTATCGACCTGGTCTCAAGGAATAGCTGAGTTTAGGAATAGCTGAAGGAGTCAACGAAGCTTACCTTCCCTTGAGTACAAACCAACCTAGGGATCGTACGTGAAGGATTTATATGGGTCTCATATCCCTAGCCCTGTCAGATTTATTTTCCGTTTTCCCCAAGAGATTCAAAATGGTAGGTTGAGCCCCCATAATCCCTTGAATGGACATGAAAATCAACATGGATCCCAAGAAAAGCTCCAAGCCAAATCTAGTCGCCGACTTGAAGAAGAGCATGGCGGTTAAAGGAGATTCTAGAAACATAAGAAACCGAGATCCCACATTTCGCGAAATACAATGGAAACGAAGTATTTTTATCCAACATGAGGATTTGATTGCGTTAAGCGCGCTCTACTTGAAATTCAAGACTGATAAGAAAAGTGTATCACGAATGTGAAACGCGAAAGGGATCTTGCCTGAAAAGTTGTGGATCTGTGGCATAACTTTCCTTTCACCTCTTTCGTCTTGACAACGAAATAATGGAGAAAAGAAGCGAAATTTGATGAAGGGGTGGATAAGATTTAAAGCAATCTCGAAAGCAGTCTGACAATAAAGATTAGGTTTAAATTACTCGGTATTGTTTTAAATGAATGCCGACCCTATTTTAGCTAATATATATCACACCAAAATTCATTAAAAGTCATCCATTTCAAAATTCAATATTATTTCAATTATCAATAATTCAAAATATGAAATTCTATAATTATATAAATATTTAATTGAATTTTATAAATCCTTTTTCAAATTAAAATATTTCAATATAATTATCAAATTATTTAGAAAATTAAAATATTAAAAATATAGAAATAAAAATTCACTTATTTTCAGGCCTTAAATGCCTAAAACTAACCCTAAAAAGAACTTTATTTAAAAGGGATTTTCATTCTATTAAAAGTATTTCAATTTGATTTCAAAAACTCTGAAATTTTGTTGTTAGATTTATTCATTAATATTCTATATATTATCAAAATTTGAAGAATTCAATCATATTAATTCTTTTAATATTGAATTTTGAAAATACTAAGTAAGCATAGTTTTGGGTAAGAAATTCGGCTATATTTAAGGACAGTATTCATTTAAAACAACACCGAGTAAGCTTGTATTGTAAGCGAATCCGATTATCGTAGAGAATGATGATTAATTCACTCTCCAATCATCGTGTAGACCAAAATACGGATTTCCTAATCTGAGTGAAGTGAAGTTCAAAAAAACGACCTAACCACGTTTTCACAATGAGAGTTAAAATAAACTACCAACAACCACCAACACATGATGAGATCTTTTAAACGCGAATGCCTTTAGAATCATACTTTAACATGGATATGAACTCATCAACTCAGCATACTAAATCAACAACTATTCCTCCTCAAATTCGTCTACATAATAATTCGCATCCCCTTTTTCTTCTTCTTGGAATAGCCGGTTCTATCCATCTCACCCATCCAATCATACAGTATAATTCATCATGCAAATATACGATCAATATCATATATAATGGACCTGACATCCCCCAATCTCCAAATTCCAAGCTTGCATCAATTGACCTTACCCATTTTCTTCACCTCGTGTATACCACGCCGCAGAATGGATAGCCCCGGGCCGAATTTCAAACCTGCATGAAGATCCAGGGTATGAGACGAACGATCTCAAAAATAACCTCGAACGAGGCTATCATTCCTCGTGCTACCGTAACATTTGACATGGTGAGTATCCGAGTGGATGGTGATTTATTATATTATAGTGATCATCTTTCCCTTCTCATCGTGTTTCTTGCTCTAACCCTATGTGTCAGAAATCGGGGATTGATAGATAGAAGTTCACATCTCAATCATCGAAACCGAACGAACGGAAATTATTCGGAATTATCTACAAGAGGTATCCCTCACAAATCCACCCCAAGAAACCCAAGAAACCCAAGAAACCCAAGAAACCAATCTCCAGTGAGCTGCAGCATATTCACATGACACAAATACGTAGCTCCACTGCACACCGTAGGTATATGGAGAGAGAGAGAGAGATGTAAGCTTACATTTTGTGTCTCCGTCTCCGCCGCTTACTCTCAACCAACATATCCAAGAATGCACTCCAAGTGAGAAGAATATATATCCACGAGGGCCCTGAATCGAAGAAAAGTGTCAATCTAGATATCCGGCGATGCCATCTAATTTCTGGGATCATATCCATATGCATGTATTGGCAAAGTGCATATCGTACAAGTAAACTCTCCCCAATTCCACACATGCAACATGCAACATCCAACATCTAACATCATTACCAAAAGAAACCTCCTACTCCCACAGCCCCATCTCACTAATTCCCTATCTCATCCCATCCCATCAAACCCAAACTAAAGCTTCCTTCCAAAAACCATAACTATCTCTTCCTCTCCCCTCCTTCTTCAATCCATCTCACCATCGAATCCCAACACCTCTCACGCTATACATGAATTCCCCATCATACTCGTACTTTCCCCGACTTCTCAGTTCCCAACTCCCAATCCCTAGAGAAACCTCTGGACTTCATGAGTAGATTACATATATATACGCTATTGGTATGAGTATCAGTATATACATCCACAGACCTCCCAATGATAACCTTACCTCGTTACACGAAGCGTGGTATATATTCCTCCCAGCCACCAACCACCAACCTGATACAATTGAACAGTTTCACAGTTACACAGTTACTCCATCTCACGCCTATACAATAGCACAATACATACAATGAGATAAGATATTCACACTATACTATACTATACCATTCCATCCCATCCCATCCCATCCCATCCGGCTGAGGCACAAATATGCCTATGTGAATACACCACACATCAGCTCTCTTTACAAAAACACTCCAAACAGCACGAGGAATGGATACATTTTTACTGATAAATTCATAGAGCAGGTGTCAACAAAATTGTTCTCATCGTTGCCATTTCCTTGCTAGCTATCACTTGTATAATCAACAGGGAACGATTCTCACTACTACCTGCAATTTGACCTTCACCCATATCATAAAATCGCAAGAAATAAAAGGTAATACAGGAGGTTGGATTCCTTTCTAGCAAGACAGAGCAAGATATTTTCCGTGGGCCTAAGAACTTGAGCTACTCTCTCTCAACCATGCACAATTTCATCTACCCCGCAATTCATGACCCCAGTTTCCGAATCCGAGCTGCGGGACATGATCGACTCACCAGAAAAATCACACAATCTCCTCATGCGACATTCTTGTCCAACCATTCTTCCCATTGGTCAGCAGTGAAGGAGCTGCTGATTGAGTTCTCTACAACTCCATCGAACTAAAATCAAATCAGTAAATTTTATCCAACATCCTCTCTCTTCCCCGTTCTTCAAACACAAAACCACAATCCCCTCTAAAAGCAGCCAAAAGAAAAAAAAACTACTCACAACAACAGTTGGTGTGACATGAATTCCCACCAATCTATTCATCTTAACCAACACCTTGAGTTGATTGGTAACCCCATTTCCAGAGTTCATACTTCCATCTGGACCTGGCTTATTATCAATCTTAAGCAGATCGTACATTTTCTCCTCGTCGATTCCTGCTTCTCCTCCAATCTTTGCGAGACGTTTGTATGTTGCATTACGTGTTTCATTAACGACGTTTGTGTCGAAAAAATCCTTTTGTTGTTTGAAAAGAGAGGCAGAGAAAGGATAGAATTTTTCGGGTGAGAGGTTTAGGACTAAGTGGAACAGGTCAGTCATGGGAAGGGGGACTTGGGAGAGAAGGTAAGAAGATAAAGCATACCAGCGACACCGGCTTCGTGGACCAAGGTACTACTTGGATGCCATGGTTGAATTTGTTGACGAAAGATGATTTGGACTTTTGATGCGTATTTCTGTTTGATTAGGGGAAACACAGAAGTATAAACTGTGTTGAACATTTTGGCCGAGAACTATGGAGAGGGCTATTAGTTTGTGATTCAGATTTGAGTATGATAGGAGACTTAAAAGAGAATTTTGGAAGTAGAGGATTGTGGAGATAGAAGGTTGGAGATAGAAGATAGAAGATATAGAGAGGGCAAGACAGATATCCAATATAAGAATGGTTGGTGAGTAGAACTTCATCCCACAGAAATGCTCTACAACACCCTCGATTCGAAACCACTTTCATCTCCCTAACCCGCAGGCATAGCCAACGCAACTGATTTACCACTAGGTAAAACAAGCACCCACAAGCCGCAAGCCCCACAAAATGCCTCATAGAAGCCATGATACCAACAGGCAGATATAGAACAAATTGAGGCTTTGGGAAGACAAAAAAGACACCAAGTAGATGGTTGAACATATCAACAAGAGCCATCTCCATTCGGTATAACCCATCTCAACCCAACCTCAATGCACTTGAAAAATGATACACCAGCTCAACCTCAATCCCAAATCCATCCACTACCCCTTCCCCTCCCCCCTTCTTTTCTCCTTCCCCTCCCCCCACCAACAAACAAAACAAAACAGAAACCCAAACCCAACCTAAATCCAAAAGAAAAAGAAAGGAAAAAAACACACACCGGACAAACATAATCCAAATACAATTCCAACGTATGCAATGCCTGCGCCGGAGCCTCCGAAGCCAAGAATCTCTGACCTGCGAATTTAGGTGGGAGAGCCATCTTTTCTTTCTTTTTCAGTCGGGGTTTTTTTTTTCTCGATATATGCAGTGCGCACTCTGAACTATAAACTCTGAACTGTAAACTCTGAACCTTGAACTCTGAACTCTGTCAATCAAAACGTAGGTAGGAGGGGTAAACAGTCGATATTGATGTAAATAGATAGACAGATACCTAGTAGGGTAGTAGGTAGTTGAAGCACCCAAGCCTAGCTGAGATGACGTGACGTGACGTGACGTTGATGTTGACATGACATGGCGTGGAATGTGGGGTACTAGGTACCTACCTCGAGCCTACCTACTCATACTTCTTTTCTTCTTTCATTTCTTCATTCATTCCTTCCTTTCAAAGCAAGGCAAGCTCGAGGCATGTATCTAACTTATAAGTCTGTGAGAAATACTAAATACCTTTATACATATACATATATGTATTGTAATCTTATATATACTCTCATTATCTAATAGTTTTCAGGAACTTTAGATTGGGTATCTATCTAAGTCGGTTACCCTACTTTCGGGCCAACAGGGTTTTGGGCCACCCTTTCACACCAAAAATCACTTTTTAGGCCTATTAATATCTCTATCAATATATAATATAATTCAATGAAAATTTGTATATATATAATTTAGATCGATTTAAGCTTATTCTGAAATTTTTAGATTTTTAGGATTTTTCTGTATTGAAAGCTAGAGCTTCAAAATATCGATTTTCAAATTTGTATGGGAATCACATACAAATTTAGAATTTTTATAAAATCTTTAATAACTTTTTAACAACAATTATTAAAAGAAAACTATATATATTTCTGAGATATTTGAGCTTGAATCTATATAGAAATTCAAAAAAAAATTCAAAAAAATTAATAGATATAGAGATATAGTATACAGTGAGTTTAGAGTAGTATAAATAATCCCTGTCATTTTGAGGGTACCCCTTTAAATATTTATTTATGAGAATTTTTTTATTTTTTCTGAATCTATTATATGAAATATATTATAAAGTGATAGTGAAATTTTACAATATATTTTTAGCAATTTTTATTCGAAAGTTATTAAAGATTTTATAAAAGTTTCAAATTTGTATGTAATTCTCATACAAATTTAAAAATCGATATTTTGAAGTTCTAGATCTCAATACAGAAAAATCCTAAAAATCTGAAAATTTCAGAATAAGCTTAAATTGATCTAAATTATATATGTATAAATTTTCATGAAATTCTATCCATAAATGAGAGAGTTAAAATTTCCATTTTTGGTGTAAAAAGTGGCCCAAAAGGGGGGTGGCCAGAAAGTGGGGTATCCGACTTATATGAGTATCTATATCAGGAGGTACATATCTACCTACCTCGAGCCTACCTACCTACCTACCTACCTATGGGTACCTATGGGTAGCTTCATATAATAGATACTACGTACTTACCGTAGGTATCTGATCTTTCCATCTTTCCAAAACCACGAATCAAGTAGGACTAAGACTGGAGTCGATATCTACCTAGTATATAGCACATAATAATATAGTATAACCTAGCCTAGTACACAATACTCATAAATAACCCTTCAGATACCTACCCTACCAATAAACAAACATCAACATCGACACGAGCATCGAGTATCGATCATTGAAATCACCTACCTACTCGAGATATTACATACCCCCAGCTACCTACTCGAGTAATCCTCGACGACTCCCATTACGGATCATCCTATCGTAGGAGTACAAACTAAATAAATCCTTTGTTGTCTACAGTATCACATCACTGATATCATTGAAATACAGAGAGGTGTATTATTCTCGTCTACGCTTTATGGCAGAGGTTCCCCTGTGTATGAACCATCCCATCCTCCCCAAGTAAAACTGGGTATCAACGTCCTCCATTTCATTAGAAAACTAAAAACTAAATGTGTATATATGTACTTAAAGAAAACATGTACAGCTACAATGCCCCCGCTCATATATGGTCTGCAATTCATATCGATAGCCAAAAAGGCTGATTATATATATCCAAGTCAAGCTAAACAACTCTCTTTTCCTCCCCCTCCCAATGTAAGATGACAAAATGTTGCCCTATCTCGTCCTTGTTAGTCGACTCGTATTCAAGGCACGACTCAAGAGAATAGGAATTCCTTTAGCACTGGCGAGCTTGTGAATTCGGGATTGAGTAAAATACAACTATAGATCCTCATTGTTAGCCAGTCGAACTCGTGTATCTCTCAACCTCTTCTCCACACAACCACATCCTTTCCTCTTCCTCACATATTCTCCTCGAGGTCAGAAATAGATAAGAGATACCACTCACTTGAGAAAATACTGTAAACCACTCCTCCGATTTTCCAAAAACTTCGGTCGAAACTTCGATATAACACTTTTCCTCGGCAACTCTGGTATTGTGCCCGCCGAATTCGGGAATGTGCGAAGGAGTTTCGTTCGTAGATCTGCAAATTCGCTGTAGCGTTTGCGGATTATTATTGGAGTTCCCTATTTCCATATCTCCATTAGCATTGATCACAATACCCATGTGCGTTATTCTGCAATAAGCTCGGAGTTGAACATGAATGATCTTGAGGTTAGAAAAGGAGAGAGAGAGAGAGAGAGAAAGGGAAAGAGAAAGCACACAAACCTCCAAAGTATCAACCTTCACATTCCACACCACAAATGCGCCAATGCCCCCTCCTATCCCCAGTCCCTTCCCCGCAATCCCTCCTATCCCACCAATTCCACTCCCATTCACAACGACATAATCTTCAATTACTACACTTCTCGCCCAACAAGCTTCATTTTTCCCCCTTCCATTGATATTGGCATCATCTTCATCTCCATCTGCAGTATTGTCCTGCAGAGTGATCCCGCTTGGGTGGATCGAATCTATTGAGATGTGGGAAATCGAGCGTGTGTGCGATTGTTGCCAGTAAGGAGGGGAGATTGTCGAACTGGGTGAGGTGATGGTTGGAGAGGTTATGGGAGATTCATTGGCATCTAGGTCTGAGTTTTGCGCGGCTGGAGGAGATGTATTGGTGATGATTTGATTCGAGGGCTTAGAGGAGGTTGGTAAGGTATTAGAATTAGAATTAGGATTAGGATTATTTAATGGATTGCCATGGCCGTTGCTAGAATGAGGAGGAGTAATGGACTCCATCCATCAATATCGAAATGGCTGGGCCACTATGTGCGTTCCCGCTTTACTTATGCTTGTGTCACTGTGATGATATTTCTAGTGTAATAATTTGTATGTCGAAGCAAAGATTTCATAATACGAGTGGCCAAAAAAATGAAGTTGACTTTGAGAATTAGTTTGAAAAATAGCTACGCTACACTAGAGATTTCCTGGGCCGACCCGACCAGACCACTGTTCTTAGTGAGAGTAACCAGTGGAGGAGCCGAGAGATGATCGTTTTCACGGCTGGATCCTTGTTTCCCCAACACAACTTTAAAAACTAGAGACAACGAAGTAAAGAAGAAAGAAGAAAGTTTATCGCCGCTTTGTTCTTTGAGAGGACTTGGCGAGACAGGACAGGACAGGACAGGAGAGTCGACATTGTCGATATGTTGAATTGTGGCGATGCTAGAAAGATTGTTATTATGTTATTAGTATTAGATGGGTACACCAGTAGGTAGATTAGATGGAGGAGGTAATGCCCAGGCCAGGATATTCGATTTAGAATTCTTCAGATACGATATTCCTATCCATGAATACGATGAATACGAAAGACACGGAGAATACAGACACACATCATGATAGCAATTAAATTATAATGATATCAAACAAAATTGATAACGATAAAACAAGCAGAAGTAAATGCAACCGAGACATCTGACCTAACCGTCCGTTACTTTGTTGAATCAAACAGTCAGTCCACCTTCAACATTCATAACATCACATAGCATCACGCCAGATGGTCCGTCTGGTCTGACAGATGCTGCACAGAGGACCTAGATAGAGTTCCAAGTGAGGAGAAGCGTGAGGCATGAAATTATTAGTGTCAGTGTGGAGCCGCTCTGAGCGATTTGATATCAAAGGTTACTCCAAAGGACGACTACTTCGTACGCTAGTCGGTATCCATTCTGGAGACGGACGTTACGGGCAAAGAAAGATGCAGGACCAGGATGCGATGCGTACAACATAATGATCAACTGGATACTCGTACCGTACCGTAGCGGAATTTCGGGATAAAGGATAGAAAGGGTGGCTGGAGGGAGTCTGATGAGAATCATGAGATGGAGTGGAGAGAGTAGAACGACTGGTGGAAGAGTACCTAGCTCAGCAAGAAGAAAGTAAGTATTTTTACGGAGGCGGGGAGAGAACGGATTCAACGGATCATCCGTTTTGTGTCATATTTATATGGAATGGAGATCCACGAATGAATGGATGTATTATCTACAAGTAGTATCCCACTTATATTCACATAGATGCAGATCAACGAACAGCTGGGCAGGTGGTCATCTGATATCTAGATCTAAGTCTAGGTCGAGGTCGAGGTCGAGGTAGCTAAAGGGGGGAGTGGATGTATATAGGTACTTGGTCGAAAGACAAGTATCTACCTATTTGAATCAAGAATATAAATAGATGAAGAAAGCGCTCAATGTTGGTTGTATATCTCATGAAGAATGGGGTGGTGGGTGGTGGGTGGTGGGAAGAGGAAGAAGTGATGAGAATCCAACGAGATGTGATCAAGAGAGGCGAATAGTCTTGATATCTACCTAATATGTATCTACCTAACATCTCGTTCATGCACAATTTCATTCTTTGAGTCTAGTCAATACGAAGAGTACATGTATACATACATATATAGATATATACATACATACAACATACATACATACATATATACCTACATTACCTAGCATATCCATTCTCTATTTCTCTCAATCATCAAATACCAAGTGGTGTGTGTATGTGTAAGTGAAGTGAAGTACGAAGTAGTATTTTCCCTAGTCATAAATTAGGTTGTATCCCAAGGAAAAGTCATCTATCCATCCATCCATCCATCCATCCATCCATCCATCCTTCCTTCCTCCCATCACAAAATTCAATTCTTAAGATAGTAACATGGAACCTTGAAACTTTCGGAAAGAAAAGTTGTGCATCGACTCCGTCCATCTATCCATCTCCACTAGCTGGGGTGGCAGCTATCGGAACTAATCTCCATCGGGTTACCTGCATCATCCATACCGCTGATACATGTACGCTAACGAAGACATGTCTTGATGCGCAAAAGAAGAATTGTTAGCATTTTATAGTAATTCACAGTAATTCATAGCATAGCATTTCATAGCATTTCCTAAAATCTCCTAAAATCTCCTAAAATTGATCCAATTTCATGCATTTGATAGGTCCAAATTCACAAAGCTAAACTAAATCAAGCTTAATCCGGATTACGGGGTATCCCATACTAGCTCAATCTTGGTGCAGATGGAGGCGCTTTTGGATGAGTTGGGGAAAGGAAAGGGCTCACCAGATGCAGATGAACACTCGGCCAATTTGAATATTGAATTGAACTTATTAAACATTGATCCTCTCTCTCCTCTCTCTCCTCTTTCTCCATCTCCATCTCCATCTTCCATCTACCGTACTGTACTCCTTTTTACTTGATTACATCCTCCTCTCGCAATCACATTCGCTTTTTGCTTTCATAACATCGAATATCAAGAATTCATTCGTTCAATCCTCTTCTCTCAATAACTCACATACCATACCGGTCAACCCATTTTCTGCAAGGTAAATAAACATTCATTGATTCCTCGTTACATTCCAATCTGGCAAACGAAAACACTCCCGCCACCACTTTTAAACTTGAGCAACATCTCATTTCTTGAAAATAAAATAAAACTCTTGAAGGATGGAAAGCTGACCCTGGATGTTCATTGATAGTTTATTCGAGAATATCATTGTCAAACGCGAAAAGCTTCTACTTTGATATCAATCTTCTACCTCAACTTAACTCACCATCACATAATTAAAATGCGTTTCTCTACAACAACTTTCGTTGCTACAGCTCTTGTTAGCTTTGCCACTGCTCAATATACCATTGATCCAGAAAGTGTACCATTGGCGACTCGCAGTAAGTTTTTCCTCCACTTTCCCAACTCTGTGACCGAGAAATATACTAATTCTCCACTCTTAGAGAGCTGGTGTCAATCACAAACACAAACATGCCCATCGCTTTGCTTGCAAAACGGTGCCGGTAGCTCCACCACTACTACCAACACTTGTGATCCCGTAAGTATATACATTCCCATCACTATCTTCCCCTTCCCCGACCTCAAACGTAAATCCGACTAACTCTCAATCAGGATACTCTCGACTATGCATGCATTTGCGGCAATGGTCTCTCTCCAAACGCATCCGAATACTCCTTGACCCTCCCATACTTCATCTGTACCCAATACGCCACCAATTGCGTCAATGCATGTAACGGAGATAACACCTGTCAAGCAGCATGTCGAGATGACAACCCATGCGGAGCCCAAAACCCAACCCGTATCAATACCACCTCTAGTACCACTCAAAGCGCAACTGGTACATCGGGAGCTTCCAGCACAAGCGGCGTTGCATACACAGGATTGGGTGGATCATCTTCAACATCTACTCCTAAGAGTGGTGCTCAGATGACTATGGACTTTGGAAAATCATATGGTTTGGCGGTGGTTTTCACAGGTCTCTTTGCGGGGTTTGCTTTGGTAATGTAAATTGACCGCTTCTTTAATGGACGGAGACGGTGTTGGCGAAGTGGATTAATCGGTCGGGTTGTTTCGTTTGTGAGATATGGCTTCATGTCATATCATCTCATACCGTATGATATTTGATATTGATATCAATGATCTCCATTGCACAACGAAACATTCTCGAATTGGGTACCTCGGGTGTTTTTGAAACTTTAGCGATCATTCAGTGTGCGTTTGTTTTCGGCTTCCTCTTTTTTCCTATTTTGAGGATTTTGAGCGTCGAGTTGGTTTCTGCTTCTTGCACATACATATTACAATGTCTGACATCCTGGATACAAACATGGATGAGCTTAATGGAGAGAGCTTGCGCTAGATTACTTGCTTAAGTATATAGCTAAGTTCGGGTTGGATTAATGTGGTAATGAAGGGGATTGTGGAAAAGCGTTGTAGGAACAGTCTAGATCTTTTAGATTTAGACAAACAAGAGCTATACTTCTGGCTACGAAATAGAAGCAAAACATTTTAAGCATACCTACTGTTCCATGACTCGAAGTGATATATATTGTTGAGATGTAGCGGTAATCTTGATGCCATCTATTTCGACTTTATTTGAAACAGTGCAGTGTAGGCAGTGTAATGTAGATGGAATCAATGTGTTATCCATCCATGAATGCTATGTATGTTGTACTGTGTAGATGAAATGAGGAAAAGAAGAAAGATGTGCATGATGATTGATATATGCGAGAGAGTAGAGTACGGGTATTTTACTAATGGGTAGTATGTAGTTCTCTGAATGGTTGAATGTGGGAATTGAAAGATGTGATTGGTTAGACTTGGGCTCGCAGGTAGACAGAACAGACCTACTCCGTACGATAGACGATAAAAACAAATGAGATGGCTCGGATGGGAAACGGCGGTCGATCGGGTCGGTACTTTTGAAGCCGTGCCCAGTGCCCACCAGGCCCCTATTTCTTGATTTATTTGGTGGGTAGGTGGGTGGGTAGATGGGTAGATGGTGAGTGGATAGATGAGTAGCGGTAGGTGGGTAGGGTAGATAGGTAAATGAATGAATGAATGAATGTATTGACATGTGAAAGGAAGAAGGAAGAAGGAAGGAAGGAAAGAAACGAAGAAGGAAAGAAAATTATTGTCGAGTGATGCTTATTAGGTGCAGAGTAGTAAAGGAGGAAGGGAATTTATGAGGGGGAATATAGTTAGGTAGTGGGTAGCTGGGAGTTATATATATTTATTTATATATTTATATATATTTATATGGTTCTTACTAGACTCAGGAGTGCGAGGGAAGGCTTCGTAAGGGTTATACGTATGTGTGTGGGTGTAGGTGTAGGTACGTATGTGTAGGTGTAGGTGTAGGTGTAGGTAGGTGTAGGTGTAGGTAGGTGTATGAATTGATTACCTATATGCTAGTAGTAAGTAAAGTAAATATCACATGAGAGATGAATGCTTTTCGTTATGTGTACTATGTATGAGTGTATGTATGTATGTAGGTAGGTGTTGTATATAATATGGAGATGAACGGAGTACGTGGAATCACTGTCCTGTCTGTATCTTTACCGCTTGCTAGATATCTCAAGTCTTCATTAAGCGATGGAGTCGCGAAGAGGAGGCTAGAAGGGAAGAAGGGGAGAAGAAGGAAAAGGAAGAGAAAGAGGAAGAAAGAAAAGAGCTGACGTGGAATTCATTGGTATCCCTGGTCAATTGGTATTGGTATTATGGAGTAGATAATAAATCTTCTAGAAGAGCTTCCAAGTTCCAACACTCAACCAGAGTGAGTCTACCATCACCATTAGCCTCGAGCCCCTGACCCGACAACTTTAAAATTTTGATGTGGTAGTCACCAAGTAACCAGTAGATCTGTTGGGTTAGCCTCTTTTTGATTCTTCCACCGTTCCCCCCTAGTAAGAATTTAATATGTAGCTAGCTAGCTTTCCAACTTTTTGGCTTGTGAAGATTTGATTGATTTGATTGATTTGATTGATTCGATTGATTTGATTTGATTTAATTTGGTTTCTGGAAGTTTTCTACTTTTCTCTACTTTTCTTGATCCATCCATCCCTCTTGATTTTTGGATTGATTTCGTTTTCATACGTACTTCACTCGAGACATCGTTCATACATACAACAAACGAGAGAAGATCGATGAGGAGCAATTAACAACAGATTGACGATTCACATCTCATCACACAATACACAATACACTACACATTACACATTACACCATTCACGCATAGCATCGGCCTCCTCCGCAGCTCATTCATTCAGCCTGATATTCAAATCCCCATCTCATCTCGTCTCGTCTCATCTCACCACTCTTCCCGCTAAAACAATCCACTTCCATAAATACTCAACCTCACCCCAAGGTCGCGAGGGTCGGAAGCGCATTCCACCCACCTCGATTGAAAATTCGCGAAAAGATTGATAAGTTGCTGGCGGTGAACACGGCGTCGGCGATTGGTTATCGAGAAGAAGACGGGGAATTGCCTTTGCCGGTTACGACGCCCAAGACGCCCAAGGAGAGGGGAATGGGGCTGGGTATGGCGCCGACTAAGAGTGAGTGGTTTTTTTTATCTGATTCTTCTGCTTTTGATTTTCTTTTTCCTGTTGGATTTGGGATTCGGGTTGCGGGGCTTGAAAATGGGGGGGAGGTAATGGGAGAGGAGAGGAGAGGAGTAGAGGATACAGTGTGGCATGGCATGGCATTGAATGGGATTTTTTCGCAGATTGAACTCTCACACCCAAAATTTACAAGTTTAGAAACATAAGAATGCAAAGCTAACGAACACGCACCAAATAGAAGAAGCAGCGCATGAGTGCGTGTCGGAAGAAGCACTCATACATTTGAAATCATATAAATATTCGAGTGTGGATAAGAGTTTGATTTCGAATTACATTTTGAAGCATTACGTAGGTGGCCTTTCTTTTTATCATCATTCTTGGGGCTTGGAGAAGGTATCCCGCACACGCCTTGAACAGATTTGTTCTACGGCGTATATGAAGTGCGGAAGAATTTTACACGATTGGAGCACTGTGAGGACGGGAGTTTGGGACTTGCTGCGTGGTCTCGGAAAGCAGTGAAAAGCTCTCAATAATCATGAGAGAATTGCTATCGAAGCCTTCCTCTATTCTCATACATCACTCAACAAATAATTATTCTAGATAATCTCGAGCGCAGCGAGCAATGGGGGTTTGGGGGCTCGCCCCCATAAAGAAGAAAGAAGAAACAGACTAACAGTTTTCAATATAGTGGAATGGCTTCGTCGAATTATTGCCATTATGGTTGGCACCAAATATGGTTACATTATTGGGATTCTTTTTCATCCTGAGTAATGTTATCTGTTTGGAGATTTTCATGCCGGATTTGGTGGGACCTGTAAGTTCTCTATTTCTACGTCTACTATTGTGATATCTTTCTGCATTGTTTAAACTCTACCTACCTCTCTATTCATTTGCAAACCTGCGGAGCAAATTACAAAAGCTAATTCGACTCAGGGACCATCATGGTTATATTACAGTTTCGCATTCGGATTATGGATGTATTCAACAATGGATAATGTAGATGGAAAACAAGCTCGAAGAACCGGAACATCTAGCGGTCTCGGTGAATTATTCGACCACGGAATCGATTCTCTGAATTGTACACTTGCATCTCTATGCGAAACAGCTGCTATGGGTCTAGGTACATCGAGAGCTGGAATCTTTACCGCATTGATTCCTTGTTTACCTATGTTCTTTTCAACCTGGGAAACGTACCATACACACACATTATACTTGGGAATTTTCAATGGGCCAACTGAGGGATTAATCTTGGCTTGCACGATTATGATCTTGAGTGGTTATTATGGACCAGAGATTTGGACACATCGAATTACGGATTTAGTCGGTCACCATTATTTCCTCGGATATCATGAATTTTTCGGTTCATACTCCGTCAGAGATTTATGGGTCCCAATCCTCGTTGTCTCATTATTCGGTATTCATGTTCCTTTCTGCGTTATCAACGTCATCAAAGCCAGAAGAAGAGACAACTTGCCTGTTTTACCGGTTTTCCTCGAATGGACACCCATGGCCGTTTTTACTTTCAGTATTGGAGCTTGGCTTTTCTCTCCATATTCAACCCTCATGGAAGAAAATCGTTTGGTACTTTTCTGTCTTACAATGAGTTTTGTCTTTGGAAGGATGACGACAAAGATCATTCTAGCACATCTCACAAGACAACCATTTCCTTACTGGACAGTTATGCTTACACCACTTGTTGGTGGTGCTATTCTTGGTAATCTACCTCGATTTGGTTTACCGGCTGTCAGCGTAGGAGTGGAATTATGGTATTTAAGAGCATACTTTATTTTTGCTCTAGTGGTTTACTTTAGATGGGCTTGGTTGGTTGTTACGAGTATTTGTGATTACTTGGGAATCAACTGTTTGACGATTCCTGAACAGAAGTTGGAGGAGATTTATAGAAATCAAGAAATGGAGAAGAGATTAGAGAAGAGAGGATTGGAGGTCAATGGAAAGAGAACCCCAAGTGGAAGTGGAGCGAAGAGTCCAATTGGAGTACCAAATGGAAAGAGAGCTGATTAGAGGAGTTGAGATGTTGAGATGTATAGAGTACATCCTTGAAGTATGTGGGCTTGTGGAGGTTGGAGAAGCCATTGGAATGATAGACATGGGGGTAGATCGTATGTATTTCGTGGGTATAGCTAGGGACACGTAGAGATTTGTTTCACTCGTGGGTATGGTGGGTACAGGTAGATAATGGATGGATGGACGGATGGATGGATGGGTGATGATGAGTAACGAATGGGTCTCTCGGACTTGACTTGAGGTCAAACAAAAAAAGGAATGAGTTCATGTATGGATGGGATGCATATAGATATTTTAATACGGAAAATTCTGAAGGGAGGGGGAGCGAGTACGAGGTAGATGGAGGAAGAAAGAGGTTATGTTGTTAAGCATTGCATGGCGTTGCGAACCCTTTGTGGGTGAAGCGAATAATAAGTAACTTGATTGAAATCCTAGTTGCATATTGGTGGAATTTTTATTTGATTGGTTTGGATTGGATGGATTGGATTAGATTCGAAGAGGATGAGTGAATGAATGAATCGGAGGGTGGGAGCGTGGGAGGGTGGGAGCGTGGGAGGAAGGGAGATAGAGGAAAGGGAGATAGAGGAAAGGGAGGGATTAGTAATTCCGTACTTACTCTCCGTATAAACTTGTTGATAATACTTCTTTGCTGTATATTTTGATTTGGTTTGATTTGGCTATAGATGGATGTGTTGTGTGTTGTGTTTTGGTTTTCTTGTTGTAGTCTTAGGGTTGATGGAATGATGGAATGATGGAATGATGGGTTGATGGGTTGATTACTGGAGGTGAAACTGGGGGATAAACTGGAGGTAAAGAACAGATCTTGAGTCTGTAGCCTTGGAGGAGTATGAATATTGCGATTGGGTTTGTGAGAAGGTGGAAAGTGGAAAGTGGAAAGTGAAAGGTAGATAGATAGATCATGGGTTGATATCTATTTAGGAATATTGTAATTGACGGATATAAATATTAGTAAATATAGTTCTTTATTTTATATTTATAGTCTTTTGCTTTCTTGATGATATCATCTTTTACTTTCTTAATAGTATATTGTATAGAAGAATTTTTAGAATTTTAGAATTTTATAGATATATATATATATAGAAGATTTGATTCTAATTCGAATAAATAGCTAGGTAGGTAATAGGGTTTGGATATTTTTATTATGTTTTATTATGTTTTATTATGTTTTATTATGTTTTATTATGTTTTATTATGTTTTATTATGTTTTATTATGTTTTATTATGTTTTATTATGTTTTATTATGTTTTATTATGTTTTATTATGTTTTATTATGTTTTATTATGTTTTATTATGTTTTATTATGTTTTATTATGTTTTATTATGTTTTATTATGTTTTATTATGTTTTATTATGTTTTGTTATGTTTTATTATGTTTTATTATGTTTTATTATGTTTTATTATGTTTTATTATGTTTTATTATGTTTTATTATGTTTTATTATGTTTTATTATGTTTTATTATGTTTTATTATGTTTTATTATGTTTTATTTGTTTTATTTGTTTTATTATTGTTTTGTTTTAGTTTTTTTGTTTATTATTTTGTTTTTTTATGTTTTTTCTTAGTTTATTCGTTTTTTTTGTTTTATTATTGTTTTTATGTTTTATGTTTTTTATTTTATTTGTTTTATTTTATTGTTTGTTTTTCTGTTTTATTCGTTTTATTATATTTTATTTTCTTTATCTTATGATATTTTCGTACACTTTTGTTATTCAGCGTTTCTAGGCCCGTCTGTCTACCGGAGAAGTCTTTGTATTAGTTTTTGTTTTAGAGTTATATATTATATAGATGAGTATCCATCAAGTATATACCGTCGGACTTTTACGAAATTTTTGTTTGCTCGTGTATCTTGATTATCTTTTCTCTATTCAGGAATCTAATTGTATATGATTATATAGTCTATATGTATCTAGTATAACATCTTTAGCTATGAATTCAATTATATAAAGAATTAAAATAAAAAAAACTAAAAAAAGAAGAATAAGTTTTGTTTTCAGATTTTCGATGTTAAAGGCGTTTTTAAGCTTATGAAATATCTAATTTAGCAATATTGAAACTATTCAAAAAACAATATAGCAAAAGATACTCTTTATTTATTCTTATTTCTCTTTATTAATACTACTTTTAAAGACTATTAAGACTATATATACTCGTATATAACTCTAATATTGAGCGCTCCGAAATACTAGCGAGCTAGCTCGCCCCGAAATATATCTTGAGGAGAGTAGATTTGTTTATTTGTCTATCTTTAGATAAATAGGTCTTTTTGTATAGTACTATAGAAAATATTATTATTGTATTAGGATAGCTAGCTATTTGAATATAGATAAATAGTTATTTTATGATTTTCGTGAGTATATATCTATATATTAGTATCAACTTGATTGATAAAGTATAAAGTACTTTAGTCTATTATAGTTGTATTCGTTCTTGATTATTATTAACTATGGGAAGCTAGTATTTAATATAGTAAAAGTGCTAGCGCTAGTGCATACGCTAGTACATACGCTAGTGCAATACAGTGCCCTCTTTTAGATCACATGATCGATATCCCGACACTATGTATGTATGTATGATATTCCCTTTTAACTAAAAGTTAAGAATCATATTGTTTACTCTATGTTTTAGTAGCAGTAGCAGTAGCAGTATCAGTACTTCGGAGCTTCTCATCTCTCTATCAAAGATACCTCTGATCCAATGACTCATATGTAATATTTATTCACAGCGCGTCGCTTGTGAGAAATTCCCTGCGCAGTTTGTTGTTTCGATGGATCGATCGAGTTCAATAGAATCATGAAGTTGCAAACCCTAACGCTATCTCTACGGTGGATTTCGGGGACAGGTTCTACAGATCATATGATGTCTGTGGGTTCACGGTTGTTGGGTTCTCGGTTTCTGCGATACGTGGTATGGATGCGCGGTATCGAATTTGGGATTCAGCTTGTGTTTTGGATGGGTGGTTTTGGATGGGTGACTTTCTGCTGCGCTGTGTTGTAGATGGTGTTATTGGGATTGGGGCGAGGAGGAGAACGGGCACTTGTGTGTACTATGTGTTAATGGGCTTGGTTTGATCTATTTTTCTCGTAGTCAAGTAATAGAAAGTGAAGGCTCCGATCTCTCAGTCTGAGTGACTTTCGTCTTGTGGATTTTAACATTCGAATGCTGCGGAAATCCTCCGGACTCTGTGTAGGTTTAGTGCACTTCTTGTGTTTTTCGTCGAGCGATGTTTTTACTCGATAATGAAATGGGGTTTGTAAGGGGAGCTTGCTTCCTCCGCATTCTCGTCGTGGACATAGATAGCGTAAGCGAATCTAAGATGTACTATTAGCACATGATATATTTCCAGAATATCCTGTGAAAACAACTTGAAAGTATCGTGGGTTTCAAGTCTAAATTCCCCAGGAGCCATTCTTCGAGGGCATCTCGGGCGGTTAAAATATCAAATCCGTCGAGTTTTGCCGAGGATGGGAGATCTTTGTTGAGCTTAAGGAAATGTATTCTGGCTAAGAGATTGGTTCAACTTCAGTCGTGAAGTATATGTATTTGTGATTATATTTATCAGTTTCCAGTGCCAATGTCTATAATTCGTGCCCCTTCTTTGTGAAAATCAATCTTTGGATGAAGAAGATATTCACAAGGTTCTTTCACCAAACAATGATTTTAATTAAGAATAAACTTTGAATGGGCGCAAGGAATGATGAGATTCTATAGCGAGCAACGATGCCGGACAGAGAAGTTGAAATCTCAATTGGAAACAGAGGGCACGTTTAACTTTGTTATTTTTTGAGAGGAGTGAAGCCTAATAACTTAGATCTCTTAACTATTTAAGACAGGAGGCGGTTAAAAAAGTAATGAATTAATGAGTGTAGCTCAAGCCACAGGACTTACTGATATGAAATGAGGCGGACAGAAACGACTTTCGATATCTGAAAACTAATTCCAATGGAAGGACTGAGACTTTAGACTTATTATGGCAAGATGAGTTCGTGTGAATATTGAAGTATAATGGCAGTAAGGATGATTTAATTATACATGGGTTGATAATGTAAATAGAAGCTCCAGTGACAGCATTGTATAGTATAATAGAAGAGACGACGAAAATGATACATTTGTTAACATCGTAATAACGATCGAAACATTGAAGCCCAGTCATAATAGACAGAAGCCTTTCATTTCCTCATTACATCACTTTTTGTTGTCTCTTTCCCGAGAACCTTTCCTAGACAATGAACCGTTAGATGTAATAAATTTCCAGTATTTATACACATAGAATATCAAGCATAAGCTAGGGTACAAGCAGCCGTTACCCTATATTCTCCTAGTATACACAAGATCGACACTTCCACATACAACACTTTACTCTTCTAGACAGTATAGAACTCGCTACACAATCACCCTGAAATATAAATAAGCGTTCAGGAATCTCGAATTCACTCAAAATAGATGTAGTTCTGCTGCCATACGTAGACATAAGGCTTTTGTGACATCCCAATGTAAAAAAGAATGAGGAGCATCGAGCTCTGTGTTCAAAGATGAATTCTTGGGCTAGAAATTGAAAATAAATTGTTGTTGATAGTCTTAACTAATGATGTTTATGTAAATCGAGTAGCATACCTAGTGATAATGTCCTTTCGACAACGAGAATAGGGCTGGAACCGTGACCAAACGGTCATAGGAAACGTTGGCACACTCACTGACTCTTGAGTGCGAACTCCAACCCTCACTTTTTATGCATCTGGGAATATCTAATTTTCATAGAAAGATATGTATCTTTTGACTCGTTCTTTTATACTCAGACCCAGGAAAATCTTTCTCGCATCATCTTAGCCCCTCCCTATTTCCTTTCTACACTCATTCATTCGCACTTATTCAATACAATACACCATTAATTGTGGTTTCATAAGCCCGTTTGACCTTGCAGCTATGAGCACATTATCATCCACAGTATATATTTACTACTCCACCTCCAAAGAAACAAAGCATTAAAAATCAGAGTAAAGGGTCCAGGCGCAAATTTCAAGGATGGTGGAGTTCTCAGAACGGAAATATCTGTTCAATATACATAATGTAGTAGAGGAGGATGAAAACAACCGAAAAAATGGAGAACTTCTTGATGAATTGAATGCTTGAGAAATGAATGAATGAGAAATAGAAGAATAAAACTTGTGACGGCGGCAAAATGTATGACGGTAACAATGAATCTGACATCAATAAGGTAAGCCCGACAATAATCTTCCAGCTCCTCCCATATCCGTTGAAGCTTTTGAACTGTAACGGATCAAATACCACAAGTAGATAGATATGACCAAATATCTATCCACCACCTGACAGAAGCTTGTCAAAAACAATTCCACAACTCAAGATTCACTAATCAATCTAAAGGAAGATGTTTATATAGCTCGATCCCAAAAAGCTCTCCTGACCACGCAGTACGAAATGGTAAATCTCACCATCATCCATTTTGATGTTTACTCTCTCTCCATACCCTTCAAATACCACGTGTGCCGTGTCTACATATTCTTCTTACATTTCTCACGGGACTACCCGTCGCATAAATATCTCTCCTTTCTTTACAACGTGTACAAGCAAGCTCCAAACGGTACTTCAGAAAGACAATGATGTGGCACTTTTGGCCAATGGAAGTTTTGCTCCGGTGATGAGATGGACATATAACGCGAATTTCAAGCTGAGAGGATAAAAGCACTTAGGTTTTTGGTTCTTGGGGGTTGTGTATAGAATTGAGATATGGTAAGGACGGTAATAATAAAGAATATAGCAATCAATACAGAATTAGGAGTGACTTATCGTCGAGAAACTGACAACCAATCCTCTTAAACGATGATATTAACTTCCATCTACCTCGTTCTCTCCCAACTCTTGTGGAGATCTGTGTCTGTACGACTTATCCACTCATACCCTTCCAACCCCTCCTTTCTTCAGCCAAAACTGATTCATACTCTCAATCCCAATCCCACATGGCTCGGCTAAATTCGGACTACATCCCCATTCCCGAGAAAGAAAAAAATTAAAAAAGATAGCAATGCAGTGATTTATACTCCTCTCCATAAACAATTCACACAATTTCCAACAGTCATCACACAGAAGAGAGATACATTACAATCAGGCAGTGTAACAGACAAGTTTGTCGATTCCGAAACCGAGATGATTAGATATACTACCAGTTCGTTTACCTAACCCTGGCCCAGCTCATTCAACAAACTCGCAATTCAAAAATCCTCCTTCCCTCACCTACAATCTTCTCAAAGCGTCTCAACTCTCCCCGCTTCTCACTCCCCTACCTTCCTCGCCAAGAAAACGACGCAAGTGATCGTAGACAGCGGCATGTTGGAAAGGGGGAGAGAGAATATAGCTTATGAATGATAGAATGGGGGTATACCATCAAATTTGAAACATCTTCTCTCCTCTCCTTTCTTTTCCTTCTCCTTTCCAACTCGGTCATGATACACTCTCATATGGTGACATGAAATGAAAATCAACGATAGTGAAAAGATGACAGAAGAAAGTGAGTGATGAGAGTGATAGTGACAATAACAGTGACAATAAATAACAAGATAAAACTATTTACACGTGATCATTATCACAGCAACAATAACAATAACAATAACAATAACAATAACAATACTACAAACTCCAAGCACTATTCCCAATCCCATCCCCAATCCCACCCCCCAAAAAAACCACCCACTCCATCCTCCCATCACATTTCCATAAATCCTCAACAGTCCTCCCCATTCACGAACCCCATTTCAAATCATCAAATACTCACTGACAGCTCTTTAAAAAAATACCATCTGCACTAGCACTAGCACTAGCACCGGCAGCCCACACCAATCTAGAACAAAGAGAAATGTGAGAAGCTATCTCCACTCTTCCCTCTTTTCACTGAATCGGCATCACACTCCCCCTCTCTTCAATAAATCGTTATTCCAGTCCACTTCACTCCGCTCCCTCTCCCTTCACCAACACGAGGACAACATAATAATCAGACTCGGCAACAATGAACTAACTGCACTGCACAAAACCACAAACATCTATAAAATCATCGATTGTATTGCTCATCAACCCCCAACCTCATCTCCATCATATCGTATGGCATCCCCTACCCCAACAACCACCCAAGAAACTTTTTTACCCTACGACTCATATGTACTGTACAAAGGTTCTCTCTTCACCCTATGATTTTTCGACACCATTAAAAAAAACATGCCTCCCCTCCATCCTCCAAAACCTGCTCTAACCAAAATTTCTCATTCAAGGAAGCTCGCTTATAAGAGTCTTCACTCCTGTCTTGTACTGAAAAAAATAGATGCTATATCCATTTCCTTCCTACCTTTTATTATCTCTCCCCGGCAAAAATAAGTCAATTGACCTGCTCCAAACGCCACATCGCAATTCTCGCACCAATCATTAAGGCTCAAGTCAATCGACTGTATATGTATGTACGTTTCACTCCCAATTCGTCCCAAAATGCCATTTGCAATGCCAGAGAAGAAACAAGTCAAGTAAAAAGCTACATGAAAATCGAGTATCTTATTCGTTGTACGAGAGATACGTAACAAAGGAAATATTGAAAGAATTCTAATGAGAATGACCATCATGGTCTGAATGGTCATGTTGAGGCTCTACGGCCTGTGTCGAACAACATCCCTTTCCCTTGCAATTATCGATACATTCGAGTAAACATGAATCATCATCCTCCATCCCACATTTGGTTTGAACTTGACCATCTAATCCGACCGAACCATTAAAGATATGGTCATGATCTTTGTCAAGACAAAATTCGGGTTGAAGAGTTGCGCTGTGGATACCGTGGCCGTGTAAGCATTCTCGAATCTCCTTTGCCAACTGCATGTATTTTTCCCCGCCATCTTCTCCTATTGGGAAGGCAACTTGTATATGCATGGATGCAACAAGTTGGGAGTCACTAAGTTGCCAAATGTGGACATGATGACAACCCTTCACAGCATCAAAGTTTTCGATATCTTCTTTGATAAGTGCGACGTCAATCGAATCTGGTGTAGCTTGTAGTAAAATTTGAGCAGTAGCCTTGGTCAATGGAATGCAAGATCGAAGAATAATAATGGTGATGAAGAGTGATACAGCAGGATCAGCATATAAACGACCAGGCCAGTTAGTCAACCAGATAATCAAAGCAGTGACAATAACTCCAACATTTCCAAGAGCATCACCAATAACGTGAAGAATCATAGCATTCATTCCCATATCATCATGATTGTGGCCATGACCACCAGACTTCTTCTTGGATTTGTTGTTGTGATTATGCGCCGCATGCTTAGATTGACGGCTCGAATGATGTTCGTGATGATGGCCTGCGTCGTCGTGATCATGGCTATGAGCATGAGTATCTGCGTGGTGGTCATGATTGTGTGAAAGGAGAGGACTATTTTCAGTCGGTGCTGGTCCAGATCTGGCATGGGTGTCGTCATCTGGTTCACTGGAATCCTCGCTTTCAATTCCATCTAATTGTGTCTTGCTTGCAGCGATGATATCTTGTCGGAAACTTGCCGGGTGGATGCTTAGGTTATCCAAACTAGAGAATTGGGACTTGCTCGTTCGTCTTCGATGAGAGTGTTGCTTGGAACTTCTGCTTGGCGATCTAGTCATGATGCTGCTGCTATCGCGAGCTGTCGAAGCATCTTCATCGGGTTTGGTAAATTGTACTTGTCGTTTGGCGGTAGCTTTTGCTACAACAGCTTCAGGGAAAACTTCGCCTGCATTTCCAGCTTCTTCGTCGACCTCATCTCTATATGTTTCGTAGTTGCTTTCGTGGGCATGACTATGACCATGCGCATGTCCTTCTTCCGCATCGGCGAGTTCGTCGTGAGAATGACCATCCCCTGGGCCATGAGAATGACCATGTCCACCTAATACGAAGAATCCAGCCAGATTCGATGCCAATCCCAACGATCCAACAACAAGTATAAGTTTTGGCTCACTAATCTCAGGTGGGTCGAAGAAACGTCCGACGGCTTCGAGAACAATGGATACGCAAAGCGCAATAAGGAAGACGGCGTTGAAAAAGGCGCCAAGGATTTCTGCTCTTAAAAACTACACAAGTTGTTAGTTTCCAGCCTTGGTAATGTAGCTTTCCGCTCGGCAAAGGTTGGGGTATATTGTGCGACGACTTACTCCGAAAGAATATTTATCCGTGGTATTTCTTCGCGCAGCTTTCACAGCCCACAGTCCAACCGCGAGAGAGATAATATCGTTCAGCTATGTAAATGTTAGTCTTCATACACTTTGTACCTTTTTCTCAGCTACTCACCATGTGAAAGGCATCTGCCATTAATGCCAATGATCCAACCCATAAACCAACACCCAATTCTACGATGAAAAAGACGGCATCGATCAATAGCATGACCGAAATGCGTGTTGACTTTGACCACGCCATCTTTGAAGGATTTTCAAGAGTGCGAACTCTTTTCTCTCTGTCTGTCTCTTTACCAGTATGTTGTTGGGAGAAAGAAAGGACGGGAGAAAAGAGTGGGCGAATTTATTGAAGAAGAAGTATGGATGTATTTGTAATCGTACAGCATGAAGAGCTGGAGTTGGAATGAAAGGTGGCGTGGTACCCGATGATTTCGAGATGACGCCCCTCTCTCTTCAATATCTTGTGGAGGTGATGATTGTTCTTGTGTCTCGCGATTTTTTTGTTTTTGAGATTTCTTGCTTGCTTGCTTGCGATTTCGGATCCTTACCAAGCCAAGCCGTTATCAAATGATTATGATTATGATTTTGTTTTTTAAGTATGGAACAAGGTAAAGGTAAGGTATTATTACGCAATTTATCTAATGCGTATCCAATGCGTGTTCCGTACCCAATAGTGCGGTTATTGCTGATCAATGAATACCAGCTGGTATTCCAGCCGTAATGAAATTTGGTATAAAAGAAAAAAAGGGGGAAATACGGTATGAATAATAGATTGGGATGGAGAATCGATATGGGATGGTCTGAATAAAAAGAGAAAAGAAAGATATGAAAAGAGTAAGTAAATCAATAAAAGTAACTACCTCGAGTCTAGAGAGATCAATTGGGAACAGAAGAAAAGAAAATTGGTCAGAGAAGTCAGAGAATTCAGAAGAGTCAGAAAAGTCAGAATTAGAAAAAAGTATAATTGATAATGTAAAACTTGAGTGAAGACTCACTGCCTCAGTAATACTTTGCAGTATAAGTACGATATATACTTATTATACCAGGACTAGGTACATACATGTCTGGATTCTGGAGCAGGTACGGGCGTACACAGATCGCCGCCAAGATAAGAGACAATGGAGAACATCATTGGATGTCAACAAATCCATGTCCATAACAACAACCTTGGGGTGAGAAATGCATGTGATAAGAGATCACGTGATTATGAGATATCTTCCCCGTCTTTTATCTTATCCTCAGACCACACAGTGATTATATAATAAAAATAGGCTTAAGACCTTATTTTCGAGGCAGGAGTTTTCCGAAGGTTCACCGTAGGGTTTGAAATAATTTAATTTCGGTTTTAATATAAATAATAACAATTCAGTTTTTTCTGATTTTTTAATTAATATTATTAAATCATTCAATAATTATATTATTTGGTGTAGATTTAATATATAAAACTAATTTTTCTTATTATTTTGATATAATTTTTATTATTATAGTTCTATTAGATTATATACAAGTACAATTTTGAAAATTAAAAAGTAAGATTTCAAATAGTAATATTTTAATAAAATAAGCCTCCAACCCTTTCAAAATCAATTACTACTATTATTCTAATTAAATCTATATATCTTTTAAAAATTCTATAATCTAGTTTATTCTTTTCATATAAATAGAATCTTAAATAATAAAAATTATTATTAATTTCGAAGAGGTTGGGTGTTATATAACTAAGATTTTGAAAGCTGAATGCCTTAAACTTAAGACATTTTGGGTTCCAAATTGAAGAGTAATTCAATCACTATTAACAATATAATCCCAATGCTATTAATACAATTAGAAAAACTTATAATATATTTAGTTTAATAAGGTAATTTAATTAATACTATTTTTATTATTAATAAAAATACTTTAAAATAATTAAAAATAACTTAACTGGTTTAAAAAAAAACTTTCAATTGAATTTTATAATAATTATAATTTTAATTAATTTAAAGCTGATTTATATAATAATATTAATTAAGCTTTTTCGAATATATTAATTAATTTTTTAATAAATGATAATTAAAAAGGTAATATATATTGTTGAAGTGTTTTTATTAAACAAATTCAATTCCTTACCAAAAACGAAATCAAATACTCTTAAACTCTTGAGGAGATAAACGTTCCCCCCGATCCCTGATTGGCTGAAAATATTCGATCATTAGTAAGCTATAACATCACCAAAAAGATCAATATATAATTCAGAATTCTAATTAAAAACGTTTTATCAACGAAGAGGGTTTGAAAGTGAGATAACCCGTCTTGGATGTTTGTTGTTATGTGTTGATAGTGGTGATGATAGCGGTGATGTTGGTGGTCATGACAGTGGCTGTTATTGGAGGCTCATCGCATTTGTTTCCATAGCATAGTCAGTCGTAGGTTGAAATGTATCCAATCCAATCATGACTTGATTGTTCTGGCAAAACAATTGGAGTGAGCCGTAAGACAACAACAAAATATTACTCAAAGCATCTGCAATCTATCAAGAGCAATCCAATAGTCACGCACTTACTTGTTGGCAAAGTAGGTTTAATACATTTACAAGTCAAAGTGCCGTGAGAGCTGTCAGGTTTCTATTCGGTATTGTGGTTCGCTACTTCTTCCCTTGCATAAACAACTTTAGAAAAGGAACGCCGTGCCGAAAACACTGCTCATCCGGATGCAGGTATTCCCATCACAACCTCCGGGCATATTACAAATGTTCCGCAGCTCGTGCTATTTGGCTACATATGCAGATTGAAATTATCCATCAATAATTTCCCATGAACAGTTTCCCATGTGCAATAGCATAGCATCAACTTTATGCTCATCTAGCCCCCGTTGTTCGGCACTTAGTGCCTAAGAGCAAAATCAGCCATGCTTCTCTCCTCCCCATATACTTCAAGCACGTGCAATAGCGGGATGTTCTTGGCTGTTAATATATACCTCCCCGATTCCCCCGATACAGCGAAGTCAGATGGGCAGACTTATAATGATTTGCTCCAAGGAAATATTAGTCCGGAGAGTCCGAAGGAGAGGTCATTTATCCATCACATTTCGATGGTCCAGAGGTCAGCTAATGAACATTGCCACTTAATCAGACTTCAAATGTTCCTTTATGATGTCCACAGCAATCAAGAGCACAAGGAACGCTAGGAAAATCTAAGTCTAGTCAGTAACGCTCACTCAACGACAATACGCTTGAAGTTTACTCACAAAGAAGAATCCAACTCCGATGATAATGATTTCAAATCCTCCTGAAAGAGCTTTACCTCTCACAATAGCATTCTGTTGTCTCCAACTTCTGATACTTCCTATCAATAATGTTATTATTGCAGCACCTTGACATATACAAGCCAGAGGTTTCCCAAGTACGAAGAACCCTATCAATGGATTTGGTGTGGGGGAATGCTGTAATCGGCTGGATATATATCAGTAAAATGATCGCGGTATGATTAAGCTGTATAGAAAACATACAATAGTTGTGCAACTGATACGCCTAGCATTGACAAGGCTAGTGAGGTTCTGAGATATGCTAAGAAAGTGCGTTCGAGAGCTGATAGAATTAGCCAATAAGTTCGTCTACAAAACGCTAAACGGGGAACATGTAGAGCAAATGATTATTTCTATACGGAAGCAAGAACTACTGAGTAAAGATGGTACAGAATGCCAAGGCTCGATAAAAGAATTCTGACAGAAAACTTGATGTAGAGAGGACTGGAAGCAGATGGATGAAAATAAACTCCCAACTGATAGAAGTATTTCGGCCCTGAACGCCGGATTCTACAATAGGTAATATACCTTGTCATTGATAGATCGTGTGAACCATATTGAGAAAACGGATAAAAGGATACATACCGAGATGATCTCTACATGCAACATGGTCAACGGTCACACTGATTTGGTGTCTCCAAAACTTCGAGACATTAAAGACCAATTGACCAAAACATCCATTGGGTGCTGTACTACCAGGACCCAATGCATGAGTAGATGAGGCATGTGTATAATTCTGCCTGATGTGTTCCAATTCCGAAAGTTCAGTAGATTCCCATTGATCTCTTTCTCGTGAGGATAATTCGGGTGGGTCTTCGGGTTCTCCAATAGATTGGTGATGGTTTGATGTTTCAGCCATTATACTCGGAAGGCGTAAATGCAAGATGATATGCAGATAGTAGAACAATTTATGGTAGTTACCTAAGTTTCACGAACTGTAGAGATCTTGCATAGGTGGAAAACAGACAGATTTAAAGAGGAAAGTTTCAGATTTGAAAATAGGATTACAGGTAGTTGATATTATACCTGAGTATTACTGTTAGTTGTAACTGAGTAAGTAATCCTGAAGCTGAGAAATAAAGCAAACTCTTTTCACTCCTCTCTTTCCGATGAGAGTACAAGTATTACTTGAGATGAAGTTTGAGGTGTAAAAGAGTATGTAGAAGTACGCTTCAAGATAACAATTGATAATGCCATCGCGGTGTGAGAGACATGATTCTGATTATCTGAAGCGGGTGAATTTCCGAGGAGTCCGAATAGGTAATGAATGATAATGGATCTTCACTCCACTACGGCGCTAATTGAGAGGGAGTGTCACGTGACTTTATTCTCAATGCTTCTAGAACTTATCCATATCTGGTTAGTCCAAGCGTTTGCCCGAGTATTCTCTCTACATCCCGAGGTCGTTGTTGATTCAACTTCCCACGCTCGCACAGCCTCGACGTCGGCATATAAAATTCAGACAACAAAGCTACCATAACATTAAGATCTACACAGAACTTATCCGTCGTGAGTATCAATACATTTCCGAGTGGTCAATATAACTTTCGGATCGTATCTATACATCCCCAAATCTACGATCGTGCTTATGGTACAAACGAAAGCTCATTGGAGGCGAGTCCGGGCCGCATGTCCGCTTTACAGATGCAGACGCATCTCAACAGAGTATTCATCGCCATGAGCTTTTAATGCAGTGTTCGGGGAGCTTTTCGAAGAAAGACGTGACAATACCACCTAAGTGAATACACTACATTACCTAGGCGAGATCTCTGCCTATTGCCTCCTGATATTCATTTCAAGCTGAAATTTTGGCGAGGATGGGTAGTATTTGCTCGAGTTGATAGAATCTCTTTACTGTTTTCTTTCTCCACCATGGTTTCCTACATTCTGTCAGTATAGCAAGGTGATTTCCGTTAGTGTCTCTCACGAAAACCATTGGAACAGCTCGTCTTACCTTCCTAAACTGTAAGAAAATCGCTGAGCCGGTCCGTTCATACCGTTGTTGCTATTGGATTGCCGATTATTTCTTGCCCAAGACTGAGCAAAATTATCATTGATCTGATAGAAGCTTATTCTCACAAGGACCAGTCGCACCAACAATCCCTTGCAAGGTGTGCAGGGTTGTAAGAATAGCACCAGCCTGTAGCAACCATTGTACCGAATCTAAATTGAATTCTATTTCAGCCATTTTCATGCATGGGACAAGTGTATCCATGTTATATTCGTAATATTTTATAACGTCTTATCTGATTCCCTGTGCGGTGCATGGGAAACTCATCCGCAGGGCACCGGCTATGAGGAATATTAATTGAAACCAGCTGATCGGGTGTCGGTCTCTGGGAAGATTGATACCGAGTTGATATGCAACGTTGGTTGCTTCTCGCGTACTACTCTAGCATTGAGCTCTATAAGACATCTCTTGGTTCCATTTCCATCTAGTCATTCTAACTCTTCTTTGATATCCGGAGGATTCATTGTTCATTAGACACGCGGCGCAACTTCTCTGCCTCGCCGCACGCTAGCATCAATCAATTCTTCATTCATTCGTTGATATTCCGAGAGCACTTTACTACACAATTTTTCATTTTCATAAATCCCCTTCAATCGTTTAACTGAAACGCCAAAATGGCAGAATCACCAGAAAGCCAGATCTCGGATCCTATATTTGACAGGTTTGAAGAAGGGTCGGATATCCTCTCGAGTAGAGACACAATTGCAACACCAGATTCTGAAATCTCCCCTCCCGAAAGTCCTTTGGAAAAGCACGCTATACTTGATCCTCGAACAAAATCTCGTCAGTTGGCTGCGTCCTTGTCGCTCGAAGAGCAGGTAAAGTTCCTTTGTTTTGTTAACTGCACCCTACTGATGAACTTCTCAGGTCTCTCTACTAGTGGCTGCAGATTTCTGGAGATCAAAATCAATTCCTTCCAAAGGCATACCAGCATTCAAGACATCCGATGGCCCAAATGGTAAATATTCATGTTCTCCTAAGCACTCATAATCCCTCACATTCGTCCGTACAACACAATATTTCTTCATTCTTTCATCTCACATTGGTACTAACACCAACTATAGGTGCTCGTGGAGCCATTTTCAAGGCTGGAACAAAGGTTTGCTCGAATTACCTCAACTAAGAGGAACTTTCTAATATGTCCAGGCCGCCTTGTTTCCATGCGGTATATCGCTAGCAGCAACATGGAACACCGATCTTATTCATGAAGTCGGACAACACCTCGCAGATGAAACGAAAGCTCGATCTGCTCAGGTTTTATTGGCACCTACAGTCTGTTTACATCGCGGTCCATTAGGTGGAAGAAACTTTGAATCTTTCTCAGAAGATCCTTATCTGACAGGAAAACTCGCAATCGCTTATATCAAGGGGTTGCAGGAGAAGGGTATTGCTGCAACAATAAAACGTAAAAACTACTCCTCTCTATGGTTTCGTCACGTGCATTTGGCTGACTGTGTGCATAGATTTTGTTGCTAATGAACAAGAGACCTTCAGATTAACCATTGATTCTGTTGTGCAAGAAAGGCCTCTGCGAGAGTTATACTTACGACCTTTCGAGATGGCCATTCGGGAAGCTAATCCTTGGGCTGTCATGTCCTCCTATAATTTGATCAATGGCGTTCATGCAGATTGTAATTTCCACACGCTGAGGGAAATCTTAAGGGAAGAGTGGAGCTATGATGGGTAATATTGTCTCCAATTTTTTATGGCATACAAGTGTACTCACAAAATCTAGTTTGGTTATGTCCGATTGGGGTGGAACAAACTCAATTGCGGAATCCATCGAAGCAGGTTGCGACATAGAAATGCCAGTCTCAACAAAATGGCGTGGCGAAAAGGCGATCGAAGCAATCAAAAATGGTGAATTAAGCCGAAGAGCCGTCGAGAAAGCCGCTGCAAACGTACTATATCTCGTTGAGAGGACAAAAGGATCAGATATGACACCCGAAGCCCCCGAAGCTGAGGACAATAGAGAAGAAACTAGAAATTTGATTCGTCAAGCTGGGGTAGAAGGATTAACCCTACTGAAAAACGAGAATAATATTCTACCAATCAAATCCTCTCAAACAAAGGTTGCAGTCATAGGACCAAATGCCAATCGCGCGATTGCTGGTGGTGGAGGTAGTGCTAGTTTGAATCCTTACTACAACACCATCCCCCTTGATAGCATCAAAGCAATCCCTGGAATAGATGTCACTTACGCCTTAGGTTGTCACACCTACAAATGGCTTCCTCTAGCAGCAGACTACTGTACCACTTCCACTGGCGCCCAAGGCGTAACTCTCGAATTTCACATTGGCGATAGATTTGAAGGAACTCCTCGAATAATCCAACACCGCACCAACACAGATCTCTTCCTTTGGGATTCGGTTCCAGAAGAAGTAAATCCCATCTGGTCCGTCCGCGCAAAAACCATCCTGACACCTACCACCACCGGCTTACATACCCTCTCCTTTTCAAGTGTCGGTCCTGGAAGACTTCTTGTAAATGGAGATGTCAAAGTCGATTTGTGGAATTGGACGGATTTGGGTGAAGCTATGTTCTCAGGGTCAAAAGACGTTCTCTTTGATATCTATCTCGAAGCCAACGTTCCAGTACAATTGGTCGCTGAGACAACAAATGAAATTCGACCATTGTCCAAACAAGCACAAGTCAACCAAACCCATGCAACGGGCGGCTGCCGTATTGGTTACAAAGAAGCCGATGCTGAGAATTATTTGCAAAAAGCTATTGATGCGGCAAAGTCCTCCGATGTAGCGATTGTAATCGTAGGATTGGATGCGGAGTGGGAAAGTGAGGGTTATGATCGTCAAACTATGGATTTACCGAGTGATGGAAGTCAGGATCGATTAATTGATGCAGTTGTGGAGGCAAACCCAAATACAATTGTGGTCAATCAATCCGGAAGCCCTGTAACGATGCCTTGGGCAAAGAAGGTTCCAGCCATTTTACAAGCGTGGTATCAGGGGCAAGAAGCCGGTAATGCATTGGCTGATGTCCTTTTCGGATTCGAAAATCCTAGTGGAAAACTACCTGTAAGTTTTATATTCATTCGACACGTTGCATCTTTCTTTTTAGTGTCTATCAATTCCCCCATACCCAAAACTTCTTCTAATCACTCCCCTATATAGACAACCTTCCCAGTCCGCCTCTCAGATAACCCAACCTACCACACCTGGCCCGGCGAAAACCTCCGTTCCCTCTATGGCGAAGGTCTCTACATCGGTTATCGACATTATGACCATTTGTCTCTTCCCCCTCTTTTCCCTTTCGGTCACGGTCTCTCTTACACTACATTTTCTTACTCCGCTCCTACGCTCTCCTCCCAAACACTCTCTTCCTCAAATCAAGATAAAATTACCTTAAGTCTCAACATCAAAAACACGGGATCTAGAAAAGGAAAGGAAATAGTACAACTTTATATCCATGATAAGAAGAGCAGCTTAGTTCGACCGGAAAAGGAACTGAAAGGGTTCGCGAAGGTAGAGCTTGAATCTGGAGAAGAAAAAAGCGTGGATATTGTAATTGATAAATACGCATTGGGATACTGGGATGAATCGTTGAGACATGGGAAAGGGCTGTGGATTGCGGAGGAGGGTGAGTTTGAGGCTTGGGTTGGCGCTAGTGCGGAAGATATCAGGTATGTGGAACATTTATTTTGCTCTTGTCGTTGTTTGGATATTCCATGAGTACGTGTTCTAATCATCTTCTATTTATTTTTAGACAAAAAACTTCATTCGAAGTCAAGGAGTCTTTTACTTGGATTTTTTAATTGGGTCGGATAGGATGGGGAGAGATACGGGGGGGCGTGACAGAAGAGAAAGGAAGGAGAGAGGAAGTCGATCGACGGAAGGATATCTACATACAGTAGAACAACCGGGGAAGAAACCAGAAGAGAGCAAAGGCGGAAGCGTCAGGACTGGAAAGGCATTTCTTCATACTTTATTCCCAGATTTTATGCGTGCAATAAATTGCGCATACGGATTCAATCGGCATTTCCTTTAAACCCAATTCAATTAATGACTGACGCTACGCATTTCTCATTGACTGCGTTTCTTTAAATGTTCCTGTTTGTTACTTGCTTGCTTGCACTATCTACCTCCATAGTCATACCTATATCTCACAGTTCATAGCCCATAGTTCACACAATAAGTATCGATCCATAAGCATACCGGGTAGGTACACAGAAATTCATTAACCATTGCTCAATCGAATACATCCAACCTGAAAACGTGACACATGAAAGCCTCAATAAATGGCTTGCTAGCCTGCACTACTAGTACCACCACGGCTATATCTCCGAATATTGTCCTTCATCGTCTCCAACAGGGCGACCGCCTCGGGAAATTTCTTTTCAACCATTCTCACCATTCCTTCCGTAACTCTCAATTTTTCTCCTTGCTTTTCAACCAATAGCGCTAGACATTCCTTTGGAAGATATGCTTCATTTGTAATAAGCCTGACCGTTTCCTCTGTAACGTCCATATTCGCACCTAGCTCCTCGAGCAATTGCATCATTATAGATTGTTGCGGTGTCAATTTCCAGTAGTGAGCCTCTATCCTTACTTGCATCTCTGATACTGCTTTCATGACCTCTTGGGTGATGTTGAAATTTCCACCTTGTGTTTTAAATAACACTCGGAGGATTCTTGCCCCTCGATAACCGTTCCGTATTGCTGCACTCACAATCTCCTCTGTGATGATCAATTTCGCCCCTTGTTTTACAAATAATACTTCAATGATTTCTATTCCCTGAAATATATTCCCCATTGCCGCGATCACGATTTCCTCTGTTATGGCTATATTCGCCCCCTGCTTTGCAAATAATTGTTTAATGATCGCATCCCCATGACTTGTATTCCCTACTGCCGCGATCATAATTTCCTCTGTAATGACTACATTTGCCCCTTGTTCTTTTATTATTGAATACATGATCGCAGGAATACCTGGATGATGCATTCGCGCTAAAGTTGTCAACAATCCGTTATCAAAACATATCTCCGTGCCTCTTCCAACGAACAGCATATCAATCTGTTCATCAGCTTCCCGTCGTTTCGCGACCTCCTTCAGCAATTCACTTGTAACCTTCACATCAGCGCTGCGTTTCTGCATCAACAACTTCATTGCACTATGGCCACAGTTCTTGGCGATGAACTGTACCATATCTTCTGTTATCTCGCTGTCCATTCCTCTTTCTTCCAATAGGATAAGCATCTTTCCATCGCCTCTCATGGGTTTGGATATGGCCTTCACTAAATCGATTGTGACTGAAACACTATCTCTTTCGAGGCCGAGCAAAAGTTTGAACATTCTTTCATCGAGGTACTCTGCTGCTTGTACCATGACCCTTTCTTCAATTCGACTATTACTTTTGATTGCTTCCAACAATTCTGTCCTGAAACCCCGCAATTGTTCGGCTCTGGACGGCCTGGAAAGGACTTCTTCGTCTATATAAGCCTTTGCAAGTTCCATTTTACTATTTAAAGTATCTTGATGGCATTTGCCTTGGAGATGTTGTCTGGTCATTATCACCTGCAAGAGCAACTTTTCGGCTATCTTCCACCGATTAGAGCTCCAGTATACTGACGCAAGTACCTCTTTTAATGATAAGATATGTATATCGTCTATTCCAAACAATTCCTCGCATTTTTCGACATCTTTTTTAAGCTTGGCTTCTACCATAAGAAGGTCCCCAGTGTCTTTTAGAATCAGTGCCACTTCAAATGATCTCATTGCTTTGATCGCATTGGTCTTCAAATAGTCCGGAACTAAAGAATTGATCTCTATTTGTGGCAATTGAGGTGATGAAGAATGCTGTCCCGGAATTAATCCCCATTGCCACACAAGTAGAAATTCATGCGAGTAATCGGGTGTCGAAGACATAGACAATTGAAACGAGCTATGTTTATGTGTTTGTTGGCGTAGATTGACTGCAATCATGATGATACCAAAATGATCTTCGAATGCTCTAATAATAGTTGGGTTTGAAGCTCCTTCTAGAAGGCAAATAATATCATTTTTTCGAATGGATTGCGCAGAAGCTTGGAGTGTCCAATGTACCCCACAATTCTTGTAGTACTGAAACGATATTGGTCTGTTGTTAAATGTAACTTCTATGTACTGTCCAGGATATCGATTTATGCCATTCCTTATCGAGGATACATGTCCTAGAACATAACCACTACTCTTGATTACCGCCGCTTCCCTGTCATCCCAAGCCTCTATACGAGGGCGTGTTTTTGATGATTGCCGGGCTGAAATTTAAGCGAATTTCCTCACCAAAACCATGCTTTATTCTATATATTTATAAATATATAATAGTTTGAATATTTATTATAAAACTTTGAAATTTAAAGAATATAAAGAGATTTAATTAATGATTAATTTGATATTAGAATTCTAAATTTTTAAATTGAATTGATAATAAAATTCTATATAGAAATTTGACTTTTAAAATAAGCATTATTTCTTATAGAAATTTTAAGTATAAAAATTCAATATAAATTTTGATTTAATTGAAAGCTTTAATAAGAAAACTAAAACTATATTATTAAATTTCTAATAAAAAAATTTTATTTTTTTAAAATTTTAAATATATAATAATATTAATTGATTTAATATTGAATTCTAAAGTCAATGAGTTTTGGTGAATTTTGGTGTGAAAAAGTGTTTGCGCACGGACCCGGCATTCATCAAAAACACGCCCTCGTAGACACACTTTGGTGAAGGATGAAATTGACAAGGCGTCGAAAAAGTGTCTCCCATGGAATCGTGTAATCGGGCAATAAGCCGGTGGTGGAGCTCAAATGATCAGAGCACATACCAAGTAAGGCATACACCTTATCGTGACGTACTGTGGCTTTGTGGTTATGATACATATCAATCAGCTCACCTAGAGAGAGATCGCCTAGTAAACTCGAGTTGTACTTTGGACGGAAAATTGATCCTCTTATCAAGTGGATCGTTGGACGGATCACACTTTGTAAATCCGAATAATTTTTTAGCAAACTTTCCAGCTTGCTAACACCCGAACAGAACGTATACCCGTTCATTTCCACTGAACCACAGATAATCAGGATACTTCGAGCCAAGCCGACCTCCTGGAGAACCTACAATTTTCCTGTTAGCTTCTTCGAGTATTCCTCCATAGTGAGAGTTTCCAAAAATTGAAATCCCTTGATGCTTTTCGATGGTTTTTCTATGGTTAAACCACTTTCGAAAATCAAATCGCTCAGGAAATTCAAAAGAGCTCAGATATCTAACCAATTTGGAAAATCTAAACTAATTGGGATCTTCGGTTGACTCGGGACACTCAGAATATTTGGAATATTGAGACTATTGGAATAATTCGGTACATCCAAACATACAAAACACCTTGAAAGGATGGGAACTTCCACAGGTAGTTCGCTACTCTCAGCTTCCACTTTCAAATATATCGTTAATTGTAAATTTACATACCCAGATGCGCTGAAACCATGGTCTCTTAAGCAACCTGAGGATTGACTCTTGGTTCCTGTTGCTGGCCAACAAATTTCTATGCTTTTCGTTCTCGTCATCTGCTGCAACTCTTATGCTCTCAAGAGCCATATCACTGTCATCCGCAGCTTCTCCGAAATAAACAATGACCTGGGCTGCTTGGCCATAGATCCTCGGCATCAATTGAATCTGGAGGCCTTTCTCTTGATCATCTTGCTGGTTGATGCAGAGAGCATCTACCCATATGACTCGTTCAAGAGTGTGATTTCGAAGACGTAGCAAGGCTGCATGCAGATTCGCTGTGATGGAGAGAGAACCCCCATCTATATAGATACAATGTGGAGGATCATCGAAGCCACCCCATACGTACGACAAAGCTTCGTATAAATGGGTTTCCTTGTCCGAATCTTGGAGAGAATAATTGTGAAGTTGGCCTTGTAGAGCAGCGGTTTCGTTTCTACTGGGCATAAGAGAAAGTAGGCGAATAGTGCTCAAATCGAGTGGAGGTAAGCTAGCATAACTGAATGGAGGCATGCTGAAGATGAGCCTTTGAGACCAAAGAACTGATTCCAATTTACTAGTCGTGAAAGTAAAATATAGCAAATGTTATCTTTCGAATGTGTGCAAGGCTGTGACTGCAGAAGCAGACGTTGCAGATAGCAGCCTAATCCTCAGGCAGGCTAAATACGATAATAGATAATCCAATCAGTCGAAGGTCATGGTTCATTGAGCCTCTTGATTTTAACTGGGTAGATGGCTAGCTGACCGAGTTCGCTCTTGTGGTTCGAATATTATGCACAATGCCTATTTAAAAAGAGGTGGACGAAGGAAAATAAGAATGTAGTAGATCATTGAAGAAGCATGAGCATTGAACGCCAACATATTTGCAGCAATGCCATGTCATGGAACATGTCCTAATTGTCTTGCTGATGCCTTGCGTGACTTGGTTATTGAGAGCAGCAGTGGACCAGTTCTTATCGAAATTGAGATTGAGATTGAGATTTCTCAAGGACCAGAAGCTGGAAATGAGATGACATAATCATGAGGTAGGGTCCTGGTGGTCCTGAAGGGGAAGGAGCGCGGGGTAGTAGGTTATGCTTCAGCCATGAGCCATGAGCCATGAGCCATGAGCATTAGCCATTAGCCTTCACCATTCAAAGCATCCTTTACCTTTCCATTGATGACCTTAAGTAGGTATCACGTGATGCATTAGATAATATCTGAGGCTACCTACTTTTGGAATGATAGAGCACTCACTACTATGTACCTACTATACCTACTAAATTTCTATGTGGGAGTGTGACAGTTCTTATAACATTATGGGATCAAGTTTCAATCCTCAGTAAATATAATCCATATAAATTCGTACAGATACCTAGCGGTACCGGTACCTCGTAAAGGATGGGAGGATGGCTCGAGGATGGATAACAAACACACCTCGCCAGAGTCGCCACCCGAGCGATGGTCAACGGTCAACCAACCCCCACTTCATTCCATGGCCATTCAATGCTTGCTTATCTAATCCGTACCCAGTACACCAGGAATTTGAGGGGACCTTTTAGAAGATACCCTTACAGGTCCCTAGATTAGATTGAGATATGATAGACAAGCTACCGGGTACTAGGGAGCCCTTTCTCCACAGGATCATCAATACTGGTATCAATAGTATCCATCACATGATTCACATCGCTGCTGAGATTTATATGCTTCCTCGGCTTCCATGACTTTGTAGATTCCTACCCACATAATATTACAGAAAAACTTGGCTATACCGGACTGGGATATACCGGAATCCTGGATATACCGGACTTTTTTAGTAATTTTTCTGAAATTTGTATGTAAATACCGGAATTTCGATCAAAACCGGTATACCGGACACTTTTTTCACGAATCCGGTATAAATTTTGGTGGCAGATTTTGCTGAATAAGCTGTATTTTGGATGAGTAAGCTTGATTGGCTGTTATCACATGATATTCTTTCAAAAATATCGGGGTTTAGAGTTGAATTCGGCTCGAAATCGGATATAAATTTTGGTTAGAAAGCTTGGACCACCATTTTTTATACCGGAATCTTCTTTATACCGGATTTGATTGGTCGAAAATTTCAGTCCGGTATAACCAAGTTTATCTGTAATCAAAATAAATACCCGACCGATCAACACTGTGGACCCCTCTTTGGTACTTGGTAGAGAGACCCTCTTGACCCTCTTGACCCTCTTGACCCTCTTGACCCTCTTGACCCTCTTGACCCTCTTGAACCTCTTCGATCCTCTCCTCTTTGAGACCCTTTCGGCAACTCAAAAATTTCGATTTCTTTACTCGTATGCTTGCTTGCTTGCATGGATCAATTTCACATGATCTACGGTAGTAAGGGCGGGTATACTACGCACATTGTTGAAGCCATTTTCACACTGGTGAAAAGAAGTGATGGGACGTTTCGTACAGTTGTCACGTTTGATCACAGCGTACAGGTTATCGACCGGGATCTGAGGTATTCTCGAGAGACTGAGAGACTGGTAGACGGAGGTGAGAGACTAAGAGACTGGGCTGAGAGGCTGAGAGGCTGATGACTTCTTTCGACTCGAGGAGGGTCAAGAAGGAGGGTCAAGGAACACGAGCTACCGGTATTACACCACACATACCGGTACCTACCCACACATTCATTCATCACTCGCTATGACTTTTTGGCATGGCCACCCACTCACTACACGATGAAAACGGATCTGATAATCAAACCTTATTAAATCGCAAGTCATTCTCGTAAAAACCGAAATCGTAGATACCGAGGTAGGTAGGTAGGTTTGTATGTGTATGTGTGTATACTCGTACATGTATGTATATGTTCAACAGATGCTTGACTGTCTCGAGACTGTGCAGTATATTGGCCCTTTGTATTTGTACACAAGGTCAAGGGATCCAGGTGAGTACAAAGTTCTTAATCGAGATTCTAGATTATCTGTCTAGGCGTCTGGGTTGTCTAAGTACGGACTAGGCAGGTGGGTAATGATTTTATGGCTTTCTTCACTCTTCATCACCAAACTTCACTTCAATCTGGCTGGAGATGATATTCAACTCAGACTTCACTCAGACTTCACTCAGAACACAGAGTATATACCCAAATTGATATGTACTAGCCATTCAAAACAAGGATATACAACAAATCTCAGTCGATACGATAAAAGGCACAATGTACATATAATATGACTCGAGCAAATGAAAATGATCAACTGTCCTAAAATCTTTTACTCCATTTCTCTTTCTCCGCTATTTTTTTTTCCTTCTGTTCCAAATCCTTCTAGTCTGGAGTCTAGGTCGATAAAAAAGCATCAAGCTTGCTCTAACGCCGTTTTAGTCCATTTTCAAAATCCGGATTCAGCCATCCAACCACCCAGCGAACAAACTCAAATGTGAAATTTTGTTTCCTTTTCCCTCCTTGATCAAATGAATTTACCTATCAATCTAATCTATCCGTCCTTGCGAATATCATCTTTTCGAAACCAGACTCTATACCTAAGTACCTAATTGTGTGCACGATTGAATCAATTGATAGTCGTCTCAGATTGACGTGGCGACAGCCTCAAAATCCCTATTCTACCACCTACTATCAACAAAATGACGTCTTAGCGGCGTCAAACCACGAAGAATCTGCGAAGAGTGAATACATACACTCGACGAGAATATCGGATGAGATCGCGAGATTGGGGGAAGTTTGGATATCTTGAAGAAACCACAAACAAACATCGCGCCGAGTCCTTATTCAATCATGGCTGTCGACAACCACCCTACCCACATCGACCTCCCTCCTCCCCTAGTATCGCCAAATGAAACCGCAAAAGGCACCCCAGTATCAGACTATGAGCGACCGATGTCACCTTTACATATGCCTCCGGGGCAAATTGATGGATTGGATGCTTTGAAAGCCCAGGAATACATGAATGGGCGACGAGGATCCGGTCAGAGTAGCAATTTGCATCTACACATACCGGGAATGGTTTCACCTGCTGATGTAGCATTTTCGGCTATGCACTATCTGCCATACCCTGTAATTGTCTTGAATGGCTCCAAAACGGTGGTTCTCGCGAACGAAGCCTCAGCGAGGCTACTGAGTGTAAATGATGGCGAAAGTGAAGCAGAAGAAGACCAACAACCGGCGGAACGATACAAAGGTCAAACTCTTGCCCAACTGGGTGTTGACATGATGTCAGATCTCAAGCCGGTATGGGTTACCTGGGATTTGTTCTTGGACAGTCTGGGCGACGAAATCAACGTCCATGCCAATGCACAAGAAACGGTGTCTTCGGAATGTGAAGGAGATGTGACACCAACTGCAGAAAGAGCCGATCCTCAAAATCGATTTGCGACGAACGCTGAGAAGAAGACATCCATGGTTCATGATGCGGTAGTGGAAGTTGTCATCACAGCTGGGTCGATCACAGCATCCACTTTTGCAGGACGGACGGCCAAGAAAATGGCAGATAGACGTAAGTATTCTTGTCACATTTTTTGCTCCATGCATTTTGATGCCTTTTCAGGCTTCTTCTGAAGACCATTTTACTGCTCATTATTTAAACATGACGACCGGATGTTGGCTTTGATGTCCAATACTTTTTATCGGACACTTTGAGCAGAATTGTCATATCAGTACAATCAGCTCAGAAACATTCTTCCTCTATTTACCAGATTCACTTCGATCACTACGTCGTACGTGGAATATCGAGCTAACAGAATACAGATTCTTATGCCAAGATGATCATTAGTATTTTCGAGATCGAAGATGAAAAACACTTTCTCTTGACCTTCACGAGTACTGAAACTAATCAATCTGGACTACCTAGCCCGAAGCGAAGCTCGAGAAAGATTCACAACCCGAAGTTCAAAATAGGTTCTAGTAATGGCTCCAAATCTTCAAGCACTCTATCACGTTCAAACCCATCATCCGCAAGCTCTGAACATGGTTCCAATCATGATTCAAATCAGGGATCTAGTGGCTCTTCTGCGATTACTAGTCCTACGAATGCACCCATGTCATCTTCTCCGTTTCCACCTTTGGGTCCTCCATCTCGCGTCAATAAATCAGGAGCCCCGTCAATCCTACAGAAAGTAATTGTGTTAAAAGATGCACTGTTGGATAACACCGAAGTTCCTATCCTGGCCATGTGGAAGGATGAAAGCTTGACGATACCGAATAAAGCTGCAAGGAGACTGTTTGCGAGAGAGGCCGACATGTCAACCGTTAAAACTGGTATGATTGTGCAACTCTTGATGTTTCAATGGCAATGCTAACAATTCCATAGGGTTTGATTTGGTTCAGAAGTGGCATTGCTATAATCATGATTTTTCGGAGGCTCTAGATCCGGCAGAATATCCTATTTCAATTCTCGTCAGAACACAAACACCATTTTCTAGCCGCTTGCTCGGGGTGTATGACCCTGATACTGGGGAAAAGATTCTATATGATTGTTTAGGTATGAAGAGGCCCTCGAGAACAACACGAAATGTAGTTGACCCTTTGTGCAGGAGAAGCAGTTCGAGATCCAGATACTGGCGAGTTTTTGGCTGGCATTGTTACTTGTAGGGATATCACAGCTGTGACACAACAGATCGCCGAAATAAAAGAGGCTGATGAGCAGAGATTCCAAATGATTTGTGACAGTATGCCACAACTCATTTGGACCACTACTCCCGATGGCATGCATGACTGGTTCAGTCAGCGATGGTATGACTATACGGGCTTAACCGCTGAAGAATCTCTGGGTGAGGGTTGGAAATTGCCATTCCATCCAGATGACATGGCGTTGACAAAGAAGCGCTGGCTGCATTGTCTAGAGACTGGCGATCCCTATACCACCGAATACCGTTGCAGAAAACATGATGGAGAATGGCGATGGATGCTCGGACGAGCTGTTTGTATGAGAAATAAAGATACTGGCAAAATCCAAAAATGGTATGGAACATGCACGGATATCCATGAAGCTGTCATGTCGAGATTCGAAGCTAAACGACTTCGTCAACAATTATTGTCCGTCATTACACATGCTCAAGTTACACTGTTCTCAGTGGATCGACATCGTAAAATCAATCTCCTCGAAGGCTCTTTCATATGGGATCTTGAGAGCGATGTAGGATCTAGCGATGAAAGTGTGGCCGGTAGTGGTAAATCTAAGGGAAGTGATTATATTGGAAGGAATGTCTATGAAGTCTTTTCGCACCCCAAT